TTGCCTCTTCAGCTTGACTAGGTTCCGAGCGTCCATGTCTGGTCCTGAAACACAAGAAGGCACACAAGGGTTAGTTCACTACTACAACAAAGCAAAAAAAAGGGGGAAGAAATTTTTCTAAGTGTGAGAATTGAAGCCCTCGACATTACAACAACCTTCGGCACTCTCATATACGCGATCAATCATGGGGTAGCCTTCCTCCTTCTCCCCCATCAGCCGGTACCGACGGAAGCCGAGCTTGTACAACTCACTGGAGAGCGTTGCACCTTTGATGGACACATGCTTATCGGAACCCTCCGGCTTCTTGGACAACACCCGCCCATTTTTTTCGAGGGCATACCCTTCTGCCTTCAGGTGCCGCCGAAACCTATCACCAAGCGGGGCGGAGAAGGGGTTCTCGGCCAACCGGATATAGCAGAACTTGTCTTTCCACCCCTTGTGAGACGAAGGCGCCTCATCAAAAATCCTGAACTTCGGGAGCTGCTGCAAATTACCATAGCCCCCGTCATTCGAATGCCCCCCCCCCCCCCCGGCATAAGTTGAACGACAGGAAGAATTGCTCCAGAGTAGGGGGGACCTTTCGGCTGAGGCACAGTGACAGGAACCCTGCCAGATATGAGTGACTGTTCGGGGTCAACTGGCAGGGGGCTAGCTTGACGAAGCGTAGATATTCCAACACGAAGAGATGAAGGGGAAATCTGAGACCCAGCTCCACCGAAAGCAGATGTACGGCAAAACAGCCGTCGGGGGCACGAAGGAGCACATCATCCGGCTTTGGCTCTACCACTTGCGCCGAAGGCCCTACCAAAAATTGTACCGCCATCATTTCCCCTCGGGTAGCTTTATTCTTGACCTCCAAGGCGGCCGTATTCAGGAAAGAATAGCCCTCGGGCAGTCCGACTGGCTGGCCAGCGTCGACGGCAGCTTGCTTCTTCTTCGGAGCCGTCCTCGCCTTCTTTCTCTTTTGCCCTGGGGCCACACTGAGGGGTACAACGTCTATAGGCCGGGAGCTCCCAGCTTCAGTATCACACCGAGGGGGAGGGATAGCTACAGTCACCTTCAGGCCCTCCTTCTGGGCCTCGTCCTCGGCCACTTGACAGGCGATAGCAAGCTCCTCATTCGCGTTCACCTGCTCGAAGTCTTCGGCCTCGAGCTCAAGATGAAGGTCACCCTGTATCGCCTCGGCTACGGCCCTATCATCGATGACCGAGAGCTGCTCGCTCGAGGATTCCACGTCAGACGGCACTTCAACGTTCACTGAAGCCTCCCCGGAGATGTCTTGGGAATCACTAGCTGACGACATTACTTCTAAAAGGCGAGGGGTCGGAAAACTCGTACTAAGGGGGGTTCCTGAAGGGTCCTAAAGACTAACCCTAAGGCCAAAAGCTAAATACTCAAATGGAGCTAAGGGCGGAAGGAGAACTGACCTCTGAAAGCTGAGTTTTGACCGAAGGCTTGAGTTTCTCTCTCTAGAATTTTTGGCAGAGCTTCGCTAAGGATGTTGGATGCGTAAAGAAGGAATGGCATTGGCTTGGGGTATTTATAGGCTCCCAGATCCGGGCTTGGGCCGAGAACCGGGCTCCCAGCAGCCAAAGCCATCATTACGCACCGTCGTTTCACCCAACCGGTGACGCCCGCCCACGAGCAGCCAACGGCTACACTCCACGTGTACCCCCCCCCCCAACGGCTATAAATCTGACGCTACATATTCCAACGGCTATATTTCCAACGGCTATATTCTAGAAGCCCCCGGGTTTTCTACTACACTCCACTTCATCAAGGAGAGCCTCCGGGTACACTTACCCAGAGACGCCCCCGGGTGGTGCCCCACACAGCACATAACAGACGCCTTCGGGATCACTCCTTCAGAAACCCAAGGCTTCATATCAGGGCACCCCTCGGGGATTCCCCCTCAGCACTGTAAGGGCCGATTAGCCCCCGGGGAGTATACCTCATTGACGGATCGTCTACAGCACACGGGTAATGGGAGCCCTTGGGTATCTTCATCACCAAATCAACAAACAGTGGGCCCCCCGGTAACAACTCCACTGCTACCCACATTCATTACGCCCTCGATCCCCAGATTGAGGGACTCCCCTTCGGCGCCCCCAGGACATCAACAGCAAGCCTTCGGCTAATCAACACACGAGCCCTCAGAAGAGAGAACCTTCGGCATTACCGTTATTCTCCATTTTTGACCAAGGATTAACCTTTTTGATTCATCCTTGGGGGAATTCGGTGCACTCTTTTTTCCTCATTAGGATTTTTTCCCACAGGGTTTTTCCTAATGAGGTTTTTAACCAGGCATCCCCCCAAAATGAAACGAAAAGCGTCAGCCTTCGGCCCACAACAACAACACAAATACTCTACTCCTTTTCACCACTTTACGAGTGCCTCAAGGAGTGGGGGACTGGAGGACACCCTCGGGAAAATCATTAAATTACAAAATTAGTGAAATTCCAACAAACGACAAAGCAAGCCCTCAAGTCCCGACATGTGGGTAACTGAGGGACTGCCTTCGGCAGGGACATAAAAGCAACAACTCCTCACCAACTTCAGAGATCACGACGGGACAACATCAAAGGGCAAGCACAAATTACTCCTTTTCCCTCAAAAACCTTTCGGCAAAAGGAGTGAGGGACTCCTGATGGAGTATATGGCCCGGGAACCCCCGGCCCACAGACTCCTACTACTCCAGTAAAGGCCCAACAGGCCCAGAAGGCCCAACAGGCCCAAATCACAGCGCCCAGAGTACCAAGCAGCCCGCACTACGCGCCAGGGGTGCCGTCGGTCCCCTAGCCGAAGGCTCTAAACTCTCACAGAACGGGTTTCTCAAGCAAACTAAGAAACTGGGAGAAAACGGCAAAAACAGTAGCCCTCGGCACCAGGAGCCCTCGGCACCAGGGTGCCATCGGTTTGAGGAGCCCTCGGCTGCTGCTCTATAGCCGAAGGCACCTCTCCCGACATGATATCCGCCTCACATGCGTACTGATCGTCGTACCCTGTACAGACGTCCCATCCAACAGCCGCATTAAATGCAGCCACATGCGGCTGCCAGCGCCAACCAGTTGAGGTGACCCCTCGGCCAATGGGCACTTGACACGTGTCCCTGTCCGGCATTTATTGCTACTATAAATAGCACTCCATTTCCCCATTTGTAACAACGACATTCAGACTGAACATACTCTCTCTCTTACTTGCTTGTGCTCTGACTTCTCTCTAAGTTATTCCCTGCAATAACCCCTCGGATATACACCCCTCGGGTAGACTATCCATCAGAGCCAGCTGCAAATTATGCAAGAGGCCTGCCCCTCTAGTCTATTCGAGTCCGACTAGCTGCCTCTAGCCGAGTCTAGTTGTCCAGCCATCCACACATACTCTTATACTCTTTTAATCTATTATTTTGTGCATTAGTTTTGTTTAATAGTTATGTAATTCTATTTGATTATTAATTTAATTTATGCTCAAACTCGGCTTGAATAAAATAGATATATGAACTCTATTTTTTTAGTGTTCAAATATATTTAAAAAATTGCAATGAAAATGTTTAAATTCTAAGATAAATAAAATTTATTCCTATAATTTACGAGTTATTGATAGACTCGAGTCCGGATCAAACCGAATACCACTATGCTCGAACTCAGCTTGAACAACTATTCGAACTCAAAATCTAGCTCGTGTTCGAGTTAAAAAAAGCTTCTTAAGCTCAGATCGCTAAATTAAATTCGAAATCACGCTCGAATTCGCGTAGTTCGAAAAAAACTCAATTCGATTACGGCCCTAAGCAGCCTAAGCTAAATTTTTTGTTTGCAATAACAATTTTTTTCCTGCTAAGCCCACCCCACTCTTCATTCCTGGATCCGCCCCTAGTTGGGGGTAGTTGATGGGGTTGTTTCCAAGCAAAATGGCACTTGTCTTTCTCTAATTGGTTAGTCACAAGTAAGCTTGTAGCTCCCATTCTTAACCTTGCATGCATGTTGATCGATCACTTCATAACCTCCCATAGTGGGGATTAAGTGGGATCAATTTTCTTTTTTGATCCCCAATGACCTCCCATGGTGGATGCTCTAACTAACTTCAACAAGTGCTCCTAAGGTTCCAACTCTATAATAACACTACAAACTTAAAGAAATACTCCATTCTTGTGTTGGAAGAACTATCAAATAAGCATTCGAATTTACATAAAAAGTGCAAATAAGCCCTTTTTATATGAAGCTCTGTCCGGTCGTCGCCATTTGGGGCGGCTTTCGGTGGAATTTTTTGAGCATCTTCTTCATTAAATCTAATTTACTCATACCAAATTTCAGCTAAAACTTAAAGAGAGAAGACAGTCAAATGAGTTTTTGAAATATACTGCGTTGTTTAACTGCGCAATTATCTTCAAAAATTCATTTGAGTGCCTTACCAATTGATTATTTAGCTGAAATTTAGTATGAGTAAACTAGACTTAATGAATAAGATGCTCAAAAAATTTCATCAAAAACTTCCTCCGGAAGATGCCCCAAATGGCGACGGCCCGACAGAGCCTCCTATAAAATGGTTTATTTGCACTTTTTTATTTCAGCACTTTTTGTGAATATAAATATGTTGATTTTTTTTGTTGATCCTCATTTAATTTATCTATGTCTATATAGGGAATCTCTATACAATTATACATGTAAGAGAAAGGCAAATAATCATATTTCATTTTTGTTTGTTTTGTCAAATGTAAAAGTAAAAATGAGAAAGCCAATATCTATTTTTGTTTTCGATAGTATTTTCCAGGATCCAAACTTAACCTTGAGGAGTAAGTCCAGATATATGATATGTTTTGGAGTTAAGCGTATCTAAGCATGTCTGTCATTTGTCATGCTGCCATGTTTACAACCAAAAGAGTATCACTAATAAAGACTATTGATAGAGTTCTTGTTGCAATGTAGATAGTGAGAGAAATAATATCAGGCTTAACCTTAATGATAGCCCTGACAGATATATTTATAGTATAAAGAGTTCTAATTACAATAGGAAACAACAACAACAACAACAACAACAACAATAATAATAATAATAATAATAATAATAATAATAATAATAATAAAACTACTCTATTACATCCCCTCAAGCTGTGCAGGAGAAACAATGCGCAGATTGTCACGAAGAAGAGTAAAACGTTGTGGCGATAAACACTTGGTAAAAATATCTGCTAGCTGAGCCTGTGTGGGAACATACTTAACACGGAGATCATCATGAGCCACTCGCTCACGAACAAAGTGATAGTCAATATTAATATGCTTACTCCTGGCATGCTGAATGGGATTGACCGAGAGGTAAGAAGCAGATACATTATCACAGTACAAGGTAGTTGGTACGCGAACAGGAAACCCCAACTCGAACAGCACTGATCGTATGTGAAGAGTATCCTGAACCGTGAAAGCTATGGCTCTATATTCAGCTTCAGTGGAAGAACGGGAAATAGTGGGCTGCTTTTTGGACCGCCATGAGATTAGATTGGACCTAGAAAAATGGCATAGCCAGAGGTAGACCTGCCTATGTCAGGACATCCAGCCCAATCAGCATCAGAATAAGCAATAACCTCTGTAGGACCGCGTGAGGTCTGTAAAAGGAGACCATGAGTGGATGTTCCCTGAAGGTACATGAAAATACGCTTAACAGCCAACATATGTGATGTGCATGGGGCATGCATAAATTGAGAAACCAGGTGTACAGCAAAAGTAATATCTGGTCTAGTCAAAGTCAAATACTGTAACGCACCTACCATACTCCTGTATATCGTGGCATCCGCAATGAGCTCTCCATCAGTGAGGAAAAGTTTTGTACGACTAGGAAGAGGAGAGCGAACAGGTTTTAAAGTATGTAAATGAAAACGATGAAGAAGATCAGATATATACTTGTGTTGAGAAAGGAACAGACCAGAGGGAGTACGAGATGCATGAATGCCAAGAAAAAAATGTAATTCACCTAAATCCTTCATGGCAAAGCATTTATTTAAGAGAGATAAAAAAATGAGTAACTAGTTTAGAAGAATTACCTGTAACAATGATGTCATCAACATATAGCAACAGGTAAATAATGTCAGAATTACACCGAAAAATAAACAAGGAATTATCAGACCGGCTGCAAACAAAACCATGAGAGAGAAGAAAACTACTAAATCGATGAAACCAAGCATGAGGTGCTTGTTTGAGACCATAAATGGCTTTACGAAGCCGACATAGGTGGTGGGGAAACTGAGGATGAACAAAGCCTGGAGGCTGACGCATATAAACTTTCTCAGTTAGATTGCCATGAAGAAAAGCATTTTTAACATCAAGTTGGCGAATTGGCCAACCAAAAGACACGGCTAAGGTGAGAACAAGATGAAAAGTGGTGGGTTTAACTACAGGACTAAATGTTTCAGTAAAGTCAATACCTTCTTGCTGATTAAACCCTTGAGCAACTAACCGTGCTTTGTAGCGTTCCACAGACCCATCAGCTTAATATTTAGTCTTACAAATCCATTTTGACCCAATCACATTCTTTTTAGCATCAAATGGTACTAAATCCCATGTATTATTAGAGATAAGGACATTAAATTCCTCTGCCATAGCAGCTCTCCCCTTAAAATTTTTATTAGCCATGGAAAAATAAGTGGGATCAGGTGTGCTAACAACTGTGTTTAAATTAAAAATAGGTTTGGGCTTGAAAATTCCGGATTTAGACCGGGTTTGTATTGGATGAACATTAGCAATTGGGACGGAGCAAGTAGGAGAGGAGGTGGTCAACGAGCTGGGGTGGGCCAGGAAGTTCAGTGGGTCAGGGTCGTCAGGCAGTGGGTGAGGACTGGAAGGGGGGCTGCAGTCGGCTGAGGTTGTGGGCGTAGCATGGGATCTGGGAGTGGTACTTTGGGGTGGAGAGGAAGGCATTGTGGGGGAGTTGGAATTTGACAGCAGAAGGTCTGCGTGAGGAGGGAATGGCAGCAGGTCTGGAGAATGGGAAAATGTGCCTGGAGTGGGGGGCTGGTCACGAGTTATTGTTGGAACTAAGGGAGCAAACGAGAGCGACATAGTAGACGGAGACAATGCAGTACTAGTTAATTTAGGATAGGGAAAAACATTTTCTAAAAATCAGACATTTTTGCTGATATAAACCCGACCAGAAATAGGATCAAGACAACGGTACCCTTTATATTCAGACGCATACCCTAAGAAAATACACTGAACAGAACGTGGTGAAAGTTTATTTGCCGAAGTGACATTAAAATTAAGAAAACATGCACAATCAAAAACACGCATTTCGGATAAATCCGGTGCAGAAAGAAATAACTTTTCATACGGAGACAGACCATGTAGAGTAGGAGAGGGTAGCCTATTAATAATAAAAGTGGCAGTAAGAACGGCATCAACCCAAAACTGAGCTAGCAAATTGGCGGTGATGAGCATGGTACGCGCTAGTTCAAGTAAATGACGATGCTTACGCTCAGCCACACCATTTTGCTGAGGAGTTTCAGGACATGACTTTTGAAAAATAATGCCAGAATCAGTAAAAAACTTGCGCATATGAAAATTATCAAATTCACCCCCTCCATCAATCTGAAAAATCTTAATTTTGCGGTCAAGTAAATTTTCAGTCATTAATTTAAAATGATGAAAATGAATAGTAACCTCAGACTTACGCTGCATAGGATATAGCCAAGTAAAACGAGAAAAATCATCCACAAAACAAACATAATACTTAAAACCAAGATGAGAGAGCACAGGAGATTACCAAACATCAAAGTGAATTAAATATAGAGCACAAGGACTGTTGTGAAAAACTTTATTAAAAGATAACCGTTGTGATTTTCCCAAACGACAGGGAATACAATCAGAAATAGAGACAGAAGTGCTAGAAATTAAATTATTATTTCTAAGTTGATCTAAAACACGAGTACCACAATGTCCTAGTCTATTATGCCAAAGGGAAATAGAAACAACAGAAAGGGCAACAGATGGAGGTGTAGGCTGGCGAACGGGATAGACACCATTATTACTGAATGCTCGAAGTAGAACCGCCCCCGTTGCTTTGCCTTTTACATAAAAACAATTTTTATCAAAAGTTACAACACAGTTGTTATCAGCACATAGTTTTTGAATGGATAAAAGATTATATTTAATATTAGGGACATGAAAAACAGATTTTAGGTGAAGAGGGCGAGGAGAGGGATGCAAAATGGCCTCACCAGTATGCATAACAGGGAGAGAATTACCATTAGCTACTATAATCGAATGAGAATTAGGAGAAAATGTTTTATTAGACAAAATACCTGGATGAAGAGTCATATGGGCAGAGGCACCTGAGTCAGGATACCACACAATGTCAGAAGCTTCAGGAGTCTGAGCAGCAAGAGCAGGTGCAGCTGGCTGAACAAAACGGGACGGACAAGTGGAGGCGGGATGACCTGGAGCATAACAAATCTGACAAACTACAGGAGGAGGAACATAGTTCCCTTCAACAGATGAAGAGCCTGCATAACCACGGTTAGTACAATAAGTAGATAAGGCATAAGTATAAACATTTGACTGAACAGACATACCTGCCGAGCCCGGAGCCCCAAGAATACCCGCATGAGGTGCACCCCCTGTAACATATCCTGGCGGGGGGTAACCGTAGTCCATCTGTGGAGGATAACCATAACCAGGTTGAGGTGGTCCATAGCCACGACCACGCTGTCCACGGCCTCCTCTGCCCCACTGTCCGCGGCCACCCCGGCCGCGATATCCTCTCCCGCGCTGCTGCTGGCCATGTGGAGGTGGCTGCCCCGCAGCCTGAGCTTGACTGGCAAAAGCTTGGGCTTGAGGAGGGTCTTCTAAAGCACGCATGTACTGAATGGTTTGCTCCTTTTCAACCAAACAGGTGCGTAGCTTTTCAAAAGTGAAACTCTCCGGAAACAGCCCAATCGATGTAATAAGAGATTCATAGTCACGGCCCAAACCAAGTAAAATAGTTTGAAACAGTTCACGAGGGGAAATAGGGGCATTAATTGCAGCTAAGTTATCAGCAATAATTTTAATGTCTCTAAGATAATGTTCCATAGATTGATTAGGAGCCTTCCTAGAGTGGGTGAGTTGTCGTTTCAATTCCATGGAGCGGGCAAGACTAGCAGACATAAAAGGAGACTCTAACCGACTCCAGATAGCGGAAGCATTCTTAATTCATGCACCTCAATTAAGACATCACAAGACAATGTAGCAAATAGCCAAGAGCGCACCGTTTGATCAACTTTTAGCCAATTACAATAGTCAGGATTGATTGTCTCAAGATGAAAAGCATAAAAAATATAGGGAGTAGGAGCAGGAATGGAACCATCTAAAATTCCCAAAAAACCACTGGAGACTAAGAAAGAGTCAAATTGAGTAAGCCAAGGCAAATAGTCTTCTACCGCAGCCAGTTTGATTGTCACAATATTGATAATATTAAGGGCATAAAAACCAATGTTCTTAACTAAATCAGACAGAATTGAACCTGTATGGGCAGCAGGAGTTCGTGGAGCTATGGGACCAGGAGAAGTGGCTTTTATACCATGAGAGAAATAATATCAGGCTTAACCTTAATGGTAGCACATATATATTTATAGTAAAAAGAGTTCTAATTACAATAGGAAACCACAATAATAATAATAATAATAATAATAATAATAATAATAATAATAATAATAATAATAATAATAATAATAATAATAATAATAATAATAATAATAAAACTACTCTATTAGATAGCATGTCCACCATTAATCGCCATCGCAAAACTCTAAACAGATCAAATCTTTTTTAGATCTATCCCTCCCAATGAAATCTGAAATTTCAGTAGGAATTAGCATCATTATTTTTAGAAGATGGTGGAGATTTGTGATATCTGTTGGGGAAGGAGAAGCGTGCCAGATGAAAGAAAAATAGGAATGATACGCCGCTCTCTTTTTTAATTATAAAACGATACCCACGGTATAATTTGTATGTCTCCTAATTGCAAGAGATCCAATCATGAGGCTGGTCAATATAATATTATCATTACTAAGAACATACTATTAATGTATAGTAACATTAAGAATGAATAATAATCACTATTTATAGATACTGATATTATCAAATTAATTGTTGAGAATTGAGATCGTATTTTCTAGGGGTGATATCAATAACTGGGTTGAATTTTTGTTAAACCCAAAAATGGCCTGCAACATCTCAGAAAATTAGAGACCGGAACAAGGCCAATTGTATTTAGTCCGAGTCGAGTATTTCATATCCTAGTTTGGTTTGGGTTCGGGTAGGACTAGTTAAAACTCAAACAAGAAATAATCACCTTATCCTTTCGTAATTTAAAACCTATTTTCAAATACAACTACTCAAAAACACAAATTATAAACAATAACGCAAATATCAATTCCAAATCACAAACAACTCGAATCCAAACAGAATAATTTATCTTAATTTTACATTTAAGATACATAAAATGTTACTAAAGTTATATTTTCATTGTCACTACGTATACAAATTGAAGATCATAATAATCACTAAAAGTTAACGGGCCACTTTTTGTTCAACATGCTTATTCTAATAATGTATTAAGAATTCTATCTTCTAGCAGGCCCAAATCCGGGAAGGAGGTGACTAGCACCTATTTCAAGTCTTCAATTGACTATGTATTGAAATCCATGCATAGAATTCCATAATATTTCAAACTGGGTTGTTAGACATGTATTGAAATCTATATAATTCTATAATATAGTATTGCATTATATTCCATCAAAATCCCATAGAATCTTTGCAATTCTATTACAATTCATGGATTTAAAATCTTTAAAAATCTATGTTGGGGACACACCTTAAATGATGTTGGTATATTATACTACATATTCATTTTTATTCAGGTCGTCCAAAAATAAGAAACCCAGAGTAGGGATGGACCGGTTCCGATCGGCCTGGCCGATCTGGGACTGGTCTGGGCCGATAACGGCTATATTTTTTTTAAAAAATATTAAAATGGTCTGCTCCTAGCCGTTGCCAAAGTGCCAAACGGCTCTATAGCCGTTGGAGGGGGGTTTGGGGGTGGGGGTACAAAACAAATCTATATATACTCCTATTTTCTAAACATTTTTCTACACTCATTCTCTAATTCTTCCTACTCTTTAATAGTCTCTGATCATCTCCATCTTCATCTTCTCCAATTCTCTCTACACCTATTAATATATATCATGTCTATTTAAATTAGCTATACAATTATTATATGATTATATCTACTTTTATATTTATTATCTACCTATAAATACATATATTATATTATCTATATTTATTATCTACCTATAAATACATATATTATATTATCTATATTTATTATCTACTTAATATATATGAAGATAAGCCCATAGATCCTAAAGAGCAATAGAACGAGGTTAGTAATTTATTTCATCAATTATATAATGAGTTTCATGCACAATAATACAATATGGTAATGCGCCCCCTCCCCCGACACGAACATGTTCTTCATCTATAAAAATTATTTTTGAAATCTACATTTGACAATCTTATGAAAAAAGTAAAACAACTGTTGTTGCACAAAGCTCAATTAACGAGCTTTCTTTTTATCTAACGTTTCCCGTTGACTATGAAGACGATGATGACTTTGACGTTCTGAAAAGATAGAAGGAAAAAGAAAAAACATTCCCATTTTTATCAAAGATGGCTAAGCAAGTCCTAGCAATGCTAATATCAACAATTGACATGGAACAAGAATTTAGTACGATAAGCAACATCCTAATTGATTTTAAAATGAGATTGAGCGTAAAATCTCTTGAGATGCTTGTTTGCTTCCACGATTGTTTGAAGACCGATCGTAGAACTCAAGAACTTAGCATCACCCCCACCTAGGAGTGGACTCAGGCCGGGCCAACCGGACCGGAACCGGACCGGCCCGCTACTGTGCGGGCCCGAACCGGCCAGGTGAACCGGTTGGTTGCCCGGTTCGGGCCACCCGGCCCGGTGGGATGGCGGTTCGGGCTCGGGCCCTTCAAAAGGTGAACCAACCCAGCCGGTTCGAGCACGGGCCAGGCCAATTTATTTTTTCTTTTTTTTTTGAATTTTTTTTAAGTTTTTGGGTTGGGCTGGGTATTTTGAGCCATTTGAGGTAGTTAGGGTTGGTTTGGGGGTGAGGGGGAGGGTTGGGGGTTAACTAGGAAAAGACAAAAAAAAAAATAGAACCGAGGCCCGGCCCGGACCCGGGGGTTACCCGGGCCGGTTCCGGGCCTCCCCCTACATGAACCGAGGCCCGGCCGAGCCCAAACCGGAACCGGTCCACCCCTACCCCCACCCGCCACTTGATGGAGGAAACAACAACCGATGGTGTCGGAGATTCTGAATGATTATTAGGAAATGTATTTAGTGTTTTAAATTCTCCTTGATCCTCAATTGTAGTTCATATTTCAAATAAATATACTTTAACCTTTTTATATCTAGCACTTCTTGAATTGATTTTTAAACAAGATTTCAAAAAAAATGCCCGAGCCAAGACCCGGGCAGGTAGACCGACCCGGCTTGATCCTAGTGGAATCACGGGCCAGTACCAGGCCTTGAGCCCCAAAAAACAATACCGCCCAGGCCCGGATCGGGCCCGGCCCATTTCCTAGCCCAGGCCCCAGAGCGGTCACAATTTTCGGTCCAGACTTGTTTTCATATTTTGGTTCAGTTTCACTGTTTCAGTTACACCCACATTGTGTAGCTGAAAATAGGATTTTCATCATACTCCGTAAGACATTCATTGTAACAGTAATTGTCTAGAAATAATTTGAGATACATTATGAAACAATTAGCCTACTATAAAAATGGACGTATATTATAAAATAAAACACAAAAAACTAGAAACATCGCCTATAAATTAGCTATTTTCAATATAATTCTTGCTGGTATGTAGTAAATAGCCACTTATAACCTGAGGTGTAAATATTACACAGAGAAAGAAGGCTGGACATTTTGGTAAAATATAACTTCTCTATATTTCTAGCCGAATTATTTGGAGGCGCTTTAGAAGAGAGATGATAAACTATACAGGGAGGAGGGGTCAGTCGAAATAAAAAAATAAAAAAATAAAAATAGGAAAAAAACTTGTCCGACAAGTCCACCTTCACCTCAGCAGAAATATTCCATATGTACCTCACCAATCGTTGTTCAATTAGTGAAAAGTGCCCTACTAAAACCTGAAACAAGATTGGTAAAAAGCCATACCATAAGAAGACTTGAGTAAACAAAACAATTCAGAACTCAAACATTAAGAGAAACTGGGCTTGGTTGTGCCTACTCTCATTAACGCATGCCCCCACTTTTACAAGTGATGCAGTTATGCTGGCAGAGATTGACAAGGGCAAGGGATGTCATTAAAAGAAACTGGGCTTGGTTGTGATAACTAACTACATGTATACGAACCTGGGCAAGGGTTTTGATATCTAACCACATGTATACTACTTTTAGCTTCATTGCTCACTACTTCCAAAAGATGAAGTTGGCATTAGCTGAGGTGACCAGGCCCCACCTCCCTCTTTATTGGAAATTGTTACTTCACTGCTGGCCGAATCGGCAACGGGTGAATATGGTTTTGTCACTTTCCTTTTACGCATTACCTGTAGCATCACATGAAAGGAAAGATAATCTATAATAACAACAATATAGTAATAACAATAATACTTCTAGCTTATGGGCAGCAACTGAAGAGTAATAATAGTTAATAACCAGTTTTTTAACACGAGTGTTGGAATCCCACATCAAAAACTGAAGAGAGAATGATGTCTTGATAAGAGAAATTAAATTGAACTAGCTAATAAATTGAAATAAATTTTTAGCAGTTTGACCGAAGTGCCTTATGGCTCATTAGAGTGAACCCATTCAATCCTGATTCTATCAATGAAAGTACCCCTAAAATCTTTGCATATCCAGTGATTTATTGGCCACAACATTACTTCAAATAAAGTGAAAATGCTTGAGATTTAACTTTATTAAGGATGGGATACGTAGAAAGTCACACCTTTGAATCATTTGGCCCATAAGTAGTCCTTGCTAGCTCGATTGACGAATAAACCTCAAATGCTTGATTAGAATTAGGATGGCATTTTATTATGCGTACTTGGTCCTTTCCCTCGAGCGATCTACTTTGCAAATATATAATTAGCCTCGAGGGTGGGCTACTCACAGCATCTTTCTTTCCTGGAGATAATTCCATGGTCACCAAGTCATCCCATAGAACGTCCCACAAAACCGAGCAGGGATCTCTAGCAGGATTAAACTTCTTTTGTGCAATAAGGTTTGAAGGTTGCTGACAACAAATCATAAGCCCTGTTATTTTCAGTACATAGTGGCATATATTTATTAATTTATCAATCAGTTTAACTTAATCAATCAATCAACTTACTTGCAACAGTAAAACTCTCCGGTGTGTGATAACTATGATTCTTCCTTTAGGTAGCATAAAGTGGTCTTCATAGGCATCTGTCAAGGCAAACTTTGCTCGCACTTTGAACAGGTCAACCTGGCCAAAGAATGATCCAGATTCTGCTAACTGCAGTATTACCTTCATAATGACATGGTAGAAATTAATTCAAGGGTTAGCAAATGAATGCTCTTTAACAGCTATTGTGAAAATGAATACTCCCTCAGTCCCATAAAAATTGGCCAAAGTTGACTTCACGTAGAATAATATAGTAAAACTATGTGGTTGAGATTTGTGCAGAGAGAGAAATAACTTTAGCCACATATTTATTACTTCAAATGGAAATGACAATTTTTTTTCGGGGCTGCTAAGAAAAGAAAATTTGGTAAAGTTTTGCGGGACAGGGGGAAAAGGAGGGATGGTAGTAATACCTGGCCTTGCGCTTTGTACTCATCATATGGTCGAAGCAGATTATCAGCACTAATCACTCGCGGCAGCCTCTTCCGAAGGAGTTGATCCTCTGAAGCTATAACTGATGCTATTTTCATCCTCATAGCATTTGCACCTTCTGTCGTTTTTGACAACAGGTCCAAAACGCCACTGACAGGTTGAGCAGCTGCACCTATCAATCCTTTCCCAACACCTTGAACAAAACCCTCCACGCCTGAAGCTTTGGCCCCTTCAAGTGGCTTAGTTAAAATGCCAGTAACACCACGGAAAAGGCCTTTTGCAAAAGCTCCTCCACCTTCTCTTATGACATCACCAAAGTCCTCAACACCTTTGCTTTCCTGAAACAGAATATATCTTGTCAAAACGAAGTACACACAAACTGAACAGCTAATCCCAAGGACATTTCCAAGAATACTAAAAATTCATCTGGCCCTCCCTAGGATTAGTGCACATATGTATCATAATGGACTTCTACACTTCAGTTTTCTCCAAACCATTATCAAGAATACAAATACAACAAATACAGAAGATAATATGAGCAAGTATATCATCAAGAAACCTGCTTTTGTCGACTTTGAATGAACTTTTTATCCATTGACAAGGCAGCAACACCTTTACTCATGTGACCGAGTGCACTGCTTGCATTGCCAAGTATATCAACACCCGAGAGCAACTGGAGAGGCTGGCTAAGAAGATCCTTTTTAACGTTTGCAATAGCATTGCCAACCAGAACACTACGCTTCATCGATACATTTTCGAGAAACCTTGGATTTATGCGGATCTGATAACAATAAAAAAAATAATGCATTTTACACATGAGAAGTAGCAAATATAGAATTGAAAATAACATTCCCCATTTACCAGACTAACCACAAATATGAAATTTCAATTACGTGATAATACAGCAGTTGGTGCTTACTGGCATATTTTCAGTGTTCCCAAGGGCAGTCATCAAGCTCGACCAAAACCCTAGAACACCCACTGGCCGCTGTGATGGGGACATGACCATTGACACTTTGATTCGAATTTCCGAAATGTTAAAAGCACTGTCAAAATTATATAAACCTCTAGCAGCCAGTTCCATTTAGGCAGAAGAAACTGAACGACAAAAGCAAATGAAAACAAACAAGGCAACAATTCCTTACCCTATTTGAATGATGGGATCAACAGAAACAGAAGTAGTTTGTGTATCATACAACCCACTAAGGTTAGCCTGCTGAATCATCCCATGAAGGCGCCAAATTATAGGTTCATGAATGTTTATCAAAAATGCAGAATTGTCAGGTCCCTAAAAAGATAGACATATTAGCTTACAGCATCAACTCATCAAGTGCATCTTTGGGAAGGGAGAAATGTGAGAAGCATTATTTACTCACTTGGAAACCTATATATGGATAGACACACAAATCCAGTGATCCACTAGACTGCTGTGTTAAGGAAAACTTCAAGATATAATCAATGTGCTCTTCAATTCTTTGTGGTCGGAAGAGAACTGGCATAGGACTTAAAGGCAACTGATTGTCGACCTGAATCCCACGCATTCTTACCTTCAATCTGCAAAAATAAAAACAATATGGAATCTCAAATAATACTTCAACAGACGTGCATCAAACTAAAAAACAAGGCAAAGCTAAAAACAAGTAACAATATAATAAGAACTTTACCGGCTGACTCCAGACCCCAGTCCAGTTGAATAGGATAGCACAAGACTCTGCACTGATAAATATAATATTTCTTCCGGTGTATGGTCAATAATAGATAGTCCAAGCTCTGCGACCTCAACAATAGCATGAAACTCAGAATCTGATGTGTATAATGATTGCTGAGATTGAGAATTGCCAGCGATATGTGAAGATGAAGGAGTTCTATTTAAATTGGCCGGGGTGTCATTTAGTGGCATCCAGTCAATGATTCTAATAACATTCATTTTCTCTTCTTTTAGGACAGTAACACGTAAAGCTTTCTCGGGTCTTCTAGCAGCGTAGGTGGGCTGATGATCAGAGATCTCATCAATATTATATTTCCTTGAAGAAGTAGGGTCGGTCCCTTCTATCAAGAGCTCAATCAATCTTTCGCGCCCGAGATCTTCCCATGAGAAAGAAGCAGAAGCATTAGGAAGAATAACTCTCCACGAATCATTTGTTCCATCCACTTGTCGAACACGGATGGGCAAAAGTAAGGATCGATTTTCAATCCTGCCAACAAGAAACCGTTGACAATCTTAGACTAATAGTTATATTGAAATTTGAAAAAATACCCAAGTAAGCTATTCAAAAGAAAGTAACCAGAAAAGGCACATATAAAAAATTAGAACACCAATGGATTCTCTTCCACCCGCATAAAGTGAGCACCCATATTTACTAAAAATGAAAAGCAAAATAGGAAATTGGTGCCAATGCTTCAAATCGATGGATTGTCAAAATAGTACTCCCTTCGTCCCAAAAAGCGGGGGAAATGAGTAACTATAAAAATATTGACATATTTTTACAGATATTTTTCAAATGTATGTATCCGGTTTTTTGCCTATATATGTATACTTATTTTTTGATAGATACTCCAATTTCAGCAGATTACTTTTGTATATTAATCACTGGAATGCTGAGGAAATTCTCAAATTCCTTGAGGAATTTCAATTCAATCGTAAGAATTAACACCGTATAGAAGAAAGAGAATGAAGACAAACTGAGACACTTAGAGTATTATCACACTCCCAAAGCCCAGTCTTATACTAATTCTATTCTTAAGGGCCGGCCCAAACCCATGACATACATGGCCCGAAACCCTTATTTTTACTCTACCACAATCATTTAATATAACTCTATTGCTATTATCACTATTTTCTTCAGCCTAGGATCCTATCATTTTTTCACATAGCTTGGTCAAATAATTATGATAAGAAAGACTACATCAAATATAAAAATCATTACATACTAGTAGTACATAATTAAATGTAAAATGCATTAAATTTATCGCAACACATTGCGCTATTAAATATCACAAAGACGATATTGATGAGATGAAATCCATAAATGAATTCTATAAACAGACAGAAGTTCTCATTCAAAATGTCCATTAAAAAAAATGAAAATCCAAAGTCTCCGATATGCTAATTAATTGAACATATGAAAACCCAATGTTTGAGAAACATTAATTAAATAGGGAAACAGGTTTCCTAACTCTTACTCACTCTGTTCCTTACAACTTTGCCAAGTTTGACTAGCATGAGGAATAATAAAGTAAAAACTGTGTGGTTGAGGTTTGTAAGAAGAGACAAATGATAGGAGCCACAAATTAATTGATTAAAAGGGAAAGTGGCATAGTTTTTGGGACAACTAAAAAAGAAAAGATGACAAAGTTATAAGGGACAGAGGGAGTACTAATTAGGGAGATAGCCTCGAAACGAGAATTTGAAGTTTTCAAATTACGACACGCTTTCGAGTTTCACAAACAGCGCAACGTAAGCTGTGAGATGTTTTTGTGCCTCTTAGTCAGAAATACATACAATTGGAGAAAAATACTATGCTGCATTCAATAACAGAGGCCCTATGCTAAATTAGAAAAGGAAAAATGAAATAATATTAAGAAAATGCTAAAATCAGAACAAACCTGTAAGGACTTGAAAATGACTTCGGTCTGAACACTACTTCATAACGTGAATCCTTTGAACCACTTCTTACTTCAACCCTAACATGCATTATATCACTTCCAGTCTCACTTCTCAAGCAGATAGACATCACACCTTCAGCACCAACACTAAAGGGTGCACTCCATTGGTATCCATCAAGCCTTATCTGAGGGAAAAACATTATTAGGATCCAGAATGTAGATATACAAATTGCAATTTAATCATCCAAGAGATAATGTCAATTTTACCGACCTTCAATAATTCAACTTTGTTATGCTGCCATGCAAAATGTTTCGGATGATCAGTTGGATAGATCCATTCAACCAACTCAGTATTACACTGACAGAGGCATATATTGCAGCCAAGCCTATTAAGATATAAAGTATGTGGTTGAAAGTGCACAACCTGCACATTCGGGCAGCAAAAAGTCAATATTAAATGGACAACGATTCATTTAGTTTCTAATCTCCCAACCCCAAGTTAATATCCCCACCAGGTGGATAAAGGAACCCTTCATATAAGAAATACTATTATAATGGATCTTCTTAAACGAAAGTCCGTTCGCATTAAGCAAGATAATTATGTCCTCTCAGTCATCACATGTTTCCTCAAAAATCTTTGTTTTTTGTCACTACTTGAACAGACGAGTTTGCCAACAGATACGAGTTCATCCAGAAATGACAAGTACTTTTAAGAATTCTGAACAAAAATGAAAAAACACAAATATGAATGAACTTTTGCTTACAAGTTAAAGACATGGAGGACTATAGAGTCCACATCTTCATGTAGACCCCTCCCCCAATCTAATAGAAGAAGAATATAGATCTAAGCAAACCTTTGTTCTGTCGGACGTCATATGCAATACAGCAGAAAGCTTGTAATAGTTTCCATCTGGACCAAACACTTTGATATCAACTCGTTGCTGGAGGAAAACAACCGCTGAGTTTAAAAAGTTGCAGCGAACATAGCAGATAGACTCAAGGACAATTTGAATTCATTGCGGAATTTCAGAAATAGGGAATTCATATTACCTTCTTTTCTAGTTCAAGAAGAGAGATGCCGGGACTGAAGTTTTCAGAGTTTTGAACAGCAACAGAAATGCCCACCCTTGAAGATGGATAAGCATCATTTCGTGATGAAAACAACACCACACCACCACGGCCTACATAATCTTGTGGAGAAAGCATGCTGGGAGTTGGACTGGTATCGTCAATAGTATCAAGAACTTGAATGATTTTTCTGGGAGTTATCTGTCTACGGCCCCCAGAAGTAGATGGAGTTCTTAATGCTAACTTGGCAGACTTAGCCCTGGGAAGCACAAGTGAATCTACACCTGCACTTTCCCCAGGTTCAATTTCCACGACTCGGTATGCCAAACACAAATACGATTCATTAGTAATCCAATAAGGAACGAAGAACCTTATGGTTTTAGGAGCAGCGGTCGTCCCTCCCATGTCACGTTCAATACTTACACGCAATGCCCTATACAATAGAATCGTTGGAACAATAAAATCAGCATAGTCAAGACACCATGAATTGACATTTCTGACAAACACATACTACATACAAAAAAACAGGCATACACTCAGCAATCTTTGTGCATGAAACAAAGCATATCTTGAACAACTTAAACACTTCTCCAATAGTCAACTCCAACAAACAGACCCAAAAAAACTTTGAACTTCATACGGGCACACCACAGAAACTATAAGATGTCTAAAGCCATACAGTATGACAATGATTCCATATGATATCAAATATACACCACTTTTCCTTTCTGCGCCTTTTTTTTGAAGATGGTGTGGCAGACTAGTTTAGCTTTGAGAGAGCCTCTTAGCAAAAAGTTTTTTGGTCTCCCTTTAAAAGGATATTACATAAACAAGTACTCCCTCCATCCCAAAAAAGAGTCATTTTAAAGAACTTAGTTTGCCACCAAAAAAAGAGCCTGGTTTAGTCAAGATTTGTACCTTACTCAAACATGACAATTTTTGGGGAAGGAGGTGTATCTTTTGAAAAGTAAAGTATACAAATTTTGTTACTTATAAATGATTAATAGAGTAAAGAACATTCTTTTCTCAAATATACAGTTGATGCAAACCTTAAATATACATTTGATGCTAACAGCATACCTTCTTTTCTGCTGGTGGACCATCCAAAATGATGAAGCATGGCTATTACTTGTAAGATCCAAAACCAAAATAGGGTCCTGTTTAGTAAAAAGAAGAGAAAACCAGATCTGTCAAAATTGGCAAAAAGACTTTAAGAACTGTCATCTATAAGCAGGCTTAACAATTTAATGTAAAGAGTGTGTGTAAGCACATTTACATAAAGACCTCCATACCTTTTCCAAGGCCCAACCACCTTGAACAAACAGCACAAGATAGAGAGGGTTCCTTATATCAGCAGAATATACGTGCATGGTTTCACGTGATGATAGATAACCACGATGTCGCTCTATGCTACTTCCATCTTTGAATTTTTCAAGAATTCTAAGCTCAGCTCCACAAGGAAGTCTATTTTCCAGCTTCAGAGGGGAGCTAACCGATATTTTCCAATCATAGACAGGGGCATTTAGCTCTGTGTTAAGAACAGAAGCATCTGTACCAATGCAGAGCCAAGCCTGTTTACCTGTAGCATCAGAGCAACAGAAAAGCAGATCTGTTTTTTCAAGTTGATTAAGCTTCAAAGGAGAAACAGGTTGCATGTTTCCCTGTCTCAAAGTATTTTGCCTCAATAGTGTGCTTTGCTCAACTGAAGGTAAGTCCTTTCCCAGTACATAGGTAGATCCTAAAAATGCAGGTTGGCCCCATGCATATGAGGTAGGAGAATGATTGGTGCAAGGGCGTACATATAAACAATGATTAGAATCCTTAGATGTGCACTTCCAAGGTAAAACAAATGAAGAACCGGGACTTATTACATCACTTGTTCCTCTCTTCTCCCTAATTTGATGTCTTCTGTGTTCTTGAGAGTGAACCATGGACTCGTCACACGATAAAATTTCCAGCATGATATCGGAATCATTAGTTACTGCAGCAAGTCCTCTGAAAATAGCATGTTTTTTCCCATTCTTGGTGACAACTTCTACAGCTAAATAGTCGTCTTGCATTGCTTTAGTGATCACTGACATGGGAAGAAATGAGCGAATACTTTCCCATGGACCACATGTATTAAGTCCCACCCAAAAACCTACATCACTCTCAATTCCATCCTTTTCTCCTTGCTCATTTTGGAAGTTTACAGTTGTTTTCTTTTCGAAGTAAGATGTTGAAATAAAAAGGTATCCAAGAGAATCACTCTCACTGTTTAGCTGACCCTGGAGAATATTAAAAGTGTACAACCAGATTTAAAGGGGAAAAAACAATATATATATATATATATATATATATATATATATATATATATATATATAGACATGATAGGGGAACAGGAAGATATCAGGGACTTCAAATTCAACAAAGCGATTTGTTATAAATCTCAGTTCATTACTTCAGATAATTGCATTCCACCAGACAATCTGAACACTCAACTCAAAATCTACAGGAAAGCCCAGAAGAACAAAAGGCGTCATAGCATGAGAACTAGGTCTCAGTCAAAGCAATTTCCCTGGGTTTAAAATCTTTTATTTTATTTCAATTCTGTTGTGTATTTTCTTTCTGTAATGTTTGTTTCCTCTCTTTTGTTTGTAACCTTTCTTTATTTGAATAAAATCCCTTTTAACCAAAACAAAGATAGGGGAAACGAAAGTGTTTGAAGAAAAAACAAACCCTTCTTTTTAGTGGGTGGCAGACAATTTTCTCAGTATCAGTTGTTGAATGCAGCTTTCTGACGGAAGCAATCTTCTTCAAAACACTAGAACCGTGTCCAACTGAAAATGAAGCTGAACCCACGACCTCACCTACATTCACAAAAGCTTTGGCTCAAGTGATATTACACATGCATTTCAAATAAAAAGAAGCACTCATTGAATTCTTGGTGTAATACATAAAAAGGTATAACACTGCCAGGAAGTCAAATCATTACAGCATGCAGCATGTTCTACATATATGTACCCATTGCAGGAAATATTACTTCATGAAAAATGCAACTTGCCTCAATTCAATCATATTTCAATCACCATCAAGGTCTGTTGTCGACGATTGTGCACATAAAATGCTCTTTCCAAAATAACAAAGAGATAAACAACTAAATTTAGGAAATACATAGAATCATTTTCAGAGGTACCTTTTCCAGCCTTCGCAGCAAGGTTTGTTACCTCCACTTCCAACTTGGCCAACCCCTACAGCATAAACAAAAAATATAGGTAATGAGTGAGTTTATTCTAATAGCTACTTGACTTTAACTGAACCTGAATAATTCCATGAGGACAGTTCAAGTATTTTCACACTTTCCAAGTATTACCTTCCGGGGAACTTCAAAAATGAATAGTTCATTCCATTTAGCTGTGCCCTCATCTTGACCACTTACTTTAGCAATTAAAGGTTTCACACATTTAGTTCTTGCACTCTGAGGAAAAACTTTTTGCTGGCTTGTATCCTGACTTTCAACAACCAATCGTAATGCACAGAAGAGATTATGACTGTTGCCATCGTCAACAACAGGCAAGGACTGAAACAAAAGCTGATGGAAATTAGATGTGCAGCTAAAAAAAGAAGGAAAGGAAGTGGTGATAAAATCAAGGGAAAGGTGGCAACCTTTGCTTCAACAATTTGAACAGTAACATAGCGCCGATAATCTCTAGATTCTTCAATAACGTTTAGTCTGTCAGAAAACCTAGGAGGTGGAATCCAAACAGAGACAAAAGAATCAGTGGGCAGTAATTCTACTGCATCTGAGTTCTCCTCAACTTTTTTCAAGTACATATCACATCCAAGTTTGTTTTCTACAACTACAGTCTGAAAATCATCTTCATCCAGTGCTGAAAAAGTTGGACTTTGATGATCTTCATCCTGACGACCACGAGCCTCCTGCAGAAGTAACAAACAATAGTCTCAAAAGTAATTTCTTTTTAAGAAATGACCAAGCAAGCACAAAAACACTAAAATAAAATTAAAGTCTAATTCATAATATCTGAAGACTTATTCTCACAATCTCACCTCAAGTAACCTCATGGCTTTTTGTTCAAGCTCTCTATGTTTCTTCCATGAATCGATAGCCTGTGCCAAGGTCCCAAGATTTGCTGCACTAAGATTTATATTTAAGATACTGGTTGCTGCAATGCGTAGCCTTTTTCCAAGACTTGATGATGACTGAAGATTTGTTTCATAAGTCTCAAATCTGCACAGGGAAAAGCATTATTAATAGAACACCACATTGTAACCAAATGAATAAAGAATTCTCATAAATATAGATTACTTATATATCCCATCAAACGGCTCCACAAGTGGCTCCCATGCTTCTAACCGCGTGTTGAAAGTTGATGCAGCAATTGAAGAAATGAGTACTGCATTCATTGCCTCTATCCGACCATGCGTTGCAAGTTTGAGATTTGTTATTGTGACATCAAAAAGTGGCGTCATCTGGAAAACAGCAAAAACTAGTTGATCATAAACAGAAAAATGAATTCAATTTAAAGTTATTAGTTACTACAATTAGACAAATTTTGAATCTATACAAACCATTCCACATAAGCTGTCCAAAACGGTAATAGAAAAACATCTTATTTTCATCTCAGCTGTCACATTATCCCTTGTCTTGGGCTTCACTGAATCGCCAATAGCAAAAGCCAGCCTAGTCGAAGGCTTTTTCATATCTGGTCTTGCAAGAAATGTGCAAGCCTACAGCCAACTAGAAGTGTAAGAACTAAGGGAATAAAATAAAATCAAGATCTGAAAATGAGCTTAATAGTAAGAGCTCTCAATGTCTGTAACTATTACCTGATTCTCAACTTTCCAAATGCTCCAGCATTGAGAAGCCTTGGAGCTTGATGATCTTGAGATTGGAATCTCAACAATATTAGATTCACTTACAAGATCCATCCTTGGACAACAGAAAGATTTCAAAGGTGGTGCTTCATCATGTCGTGTTACCACACATCCTAAGGTAGCATAACCAGGAGGAGCAACAGGATACCAAAAGAAAGCTTCATCAAGTCCTTTTACCACAATATGGGCCACTTTTGTAAATTGCACAGGATTCGCAGAAATTTCAGGGTTGTCAGCCTTAAAAATCATACCCAGGGGAGGTGGTTCAAGGCTGCAGCAAAGTGAGACGTCGTATGAAAAATGCAAGGATAAATATTGAAGGAACACTATTCTTAAAGATAAAGACAAAACAAAGTTGTACCCCTCAGTTATACAGTCACCAAGTACAGCATAGCCTGGACGCGTTACAGGTCGCCATATGGAAACTGGTCGACGAAGATCACTACCCCGGTCCCACCAGATTCTCTCAAAATTTGGAGTTGATATATAACAAGTGGTTGCTTTGGAGATTGATCTGATAATATCCCATCCTGATGTATGGGGTTGCGTATACTCGTGCTCAAATGTAAGATCACTGGAAGGATAAATCGAGGAAGAGCGATACCAACTTGAACTCCAAAGGAGAAGGTGGTTCAGATCAAAGCAAGAATCTTTTGGAGGATGCTTAGTAGATGGATGGGCATAAAACGATCCAAGAGTATTATCCAAACGCCATATGCTATATCCAGATATAAATGAAGTACTCACAGTAGCATTGAATAAGCATTCTAAATATGTTGTTGATGTTACGAGATCACGGCGTATGCAATGAACAATGTGATTTAGAGGCTGTTGGCTTCCTAAATGAGCAACACACCCCACTGCCATATATCCAGGTGGTGCAATTGGCAGCCAGAGAGAACAACCGTCATCTACCCCAGTAGATCCTTGATTTCCAGATAATTTACCTATGAGCTTGTAACCAAGAGGCTTCCGCACGCGGCCATATGTATTGCTAATGGCCAACACAGCTTGAGAGGGAGGATTTGGCCTAAGAATAAGTTAGAAAACTCATACATCAAGCAACAAACAACTTTTTAAAAAACCAAGGGTAACACGTGGACAGCTCTGACAACACATACAAGATGAATAAATGAATTTCTTTGAGATAGTATTCAGATAGAAGGCAATTAGACATTTAGAGGGCAGTGATTCTTATTACCTTGAGGTCACACAGTCTCCAAGAATCGCATAGTTTGGAGGAGCTCTAGGCCTCCAGAATGTAACATTGTTCAGAAGCCCATTTTCTGTAAACATTAACAGAATACTTACGATATGTTAAGCAATCGGATGAACATCATGACATAGAAGAGAGAGAGAAAAAAAAAACAGTAAGAAAAACCTTTTGGAGACACCCAAATGCGATCAAAATGAGTACAAGGGGACAGTGGGTCAGCATTCCCAAATTGTAGTGTTGTTGCTAATTGAATTTGCAAATTCAGTAACAGGGATATAACACCTAGAGAAAGATGGGTGTATATATCTGTGGAGATTAATGATATACTTGTTTTATCCTTAACAGAAGTATAGCCACCCGATATGTCGACCGGATCAAGAATGATGAGCCCAGAACCAGCCTCAACGGTAAGATCCTTCAGGAGACCCCGTATCCATCTATCATTTTCTTTTGCAGCATACCTGCACAAACAAACAGGTTTTTAGGACAATTTAATTTGCAGCAATGCAGCACTGCAACAAAGTAGCGGTGATTATCATTTTCAGTATACAACTTTACAACTTTACAATAAAGCAAAATGGCTCACTGAACTGTCTGTGCTTCTTTATTCTTTATCGTGAAGCAACAGTCAGTCCATGTATTTTTCGACGCGATTTTCACTATGGGTCATTCGGAAACAGTCTCTCTGTGCTTTAGTACAGGGGTAAGACTGCGTACATCCGACCCCCCCTTACCCCACCGTAGGTGGGAGCCTTTGCGGCACTGGGGTAATAATGATGGTGCTAAAAGCTAAGTTAAATAGCACAATTCACATTATGCAAGTGCAAGAAGTTACATTATACAACTTTACAATTCCTAGCTGTGTTATCACTGTCTGAATTATGAATTTGCATAGTAACCTAACTTGCATTGCGATATAAACATTATGCAAGTTAATAGAGTTATGAATCTATTCTAGCTGGAGCCAATTAGATGGGCTCTGTACCCATTACCCAGTCAACTCAAGTAAGTGCAGTTTATATCATCCAGAAGGTAATAATTGCTTGCATAGGAACCAAGAAACTGCCTCTCTTGTTGCAAACTTTATGTTGAATGCATTATATGATTGCTACAAAACTTTTTAGTATATTAAAAGAACTATACATAAGCAAACCTATAGCCTATACTCAACATACATTAGCAAACCTGTCATATCATAATCATACATTAGCAAATCCATATCATATAAGCACACTTTGCATCTAATTTTCTGCCTTTCGTTATCTCCTAAGCATGCCTGTATAAATGTATAAAGTCGCATTAATGTAAACTGTAAAGTGGATATTTGAATACAACGTGTTCCTTAACCTGTTCTTTCTTGATATGCTATCTCGGTCTGATTTTCAGCTTTTAGAAAGTTTCATAATAAGCTACTGGTAACAAAGTAACACATTGCATAGTACTGGTACCGTCGTACCGAGACATAGTATGATGAATAAAGATCCTTTTATGACTACTGTTGATCATAGGGTAAGGATACGAGTTCACCTGTAACCAAAGCAACTTCAATTGGAGAACTTAATTACATTTGTGGTTTATACAAGAGTTGATGAATTCTGTTTTGAGGAGAAAACAGTAATGTTCATATAGGAATCTTATCTATACTTTTGTCCCTATCTAGGAATCTTCCTCTTTTTAGTGCCCAAATAAAGGGAAGGGATCAACATCTCTGACCTCCCTCCAACCAAACACTATGCAAGTGATTGCTTATATTCCATTAGAGTATGAAGTATGACTTTGCCTAATCTAATGTTCCCTCAGTTTTAATTAGTTGCACCAAGCCACCAACATATTTCTCACGGAGCTTCATAAAAATAGTAGGGAATAGATGAAAAAGTAGAAAATAAAAGATGACAAAGTGAGGTGGTAGTTACCGAACATGGAGCAACTAAAAAACTTTCATATAAGAAATATGAAGCAACTAAAATACTGAGGAAGTAGATATGTATGTGTGGCTGGGTGCATGTGGGCAGGTGGGTATAACAAATATTGAAGTACAATATATAAAGGTAAGATAGCATAGCATGCACTTAGCATACCAGTCATGAATAGAAATATGGCACAAATTGCAAAACCTATAGAAAACATTAACAGACTTTGCACATAATAAGTGATATAACTCATTGTGTGTTATGCTCAAATTTTGCTTATCACTCTAATTTAAATACAAATAAAAAGTAAGAGATTTTATATTCTACAATATGAAGTCCTAATGTTCCATCCTAAAAGTTGAACTTAATTGGAGGACTAGCCCAGAATGTAGTGTACAAAACTTCAACACGCCCTTAGCCCAAATCAGACTGAACAATTTGAGGTAGATGAATGAGACAAACAGATCCGAAATGGTCTACACTAAATTATTGGTGCCAAACAAACAATCAAAGCACAACCTGGTTTTAATACCGTGCATGTCTTGGGGTTTCATCCTTAAGTGTCAACCTGATACTCTCAAAGAATGAAAGCTCCAAAATCTTATATAGTAGCTTATTATTTCATATGCCCTCCATCCCTTATAACTTTTCTAAGTTTGACCGGCAACGAGAATAGTAAAGTAAGAACTGTGTAGTTGAGGTTTGTTCGGAGGGGAGAGAAGCAATATAAACCACAAATTAATTAACTAAAAGGGAAAGTGACAAAGTTTTTAGGACAACCACAAAAGGAAAGATGACAAAGTTATAAGGAATGGAGGAAGTATTAATCTAGTGTGGGAAAACTACTTCAACACACTAGAGTTTAAAGCATGACTCAATGTCCTATATATTAATTAATCTCAATAAATCAAAGTTATAATAATAAATTTAAATACTCTTTTAGTATCAGGATATTTGATTTATTATTAGAAAAATGATTTTGATTATGATATGATTTACTAGTAATTAAGAGATTTGTATCAATTAGAAGATTTTATGCATAACTCTCTTTTCCATAATTAAGTTAGTCTAAGCCTATAAATGTAACCATCTGCAGTATTTTATAAAGTAATACAAAAACTCGAGGTAGACTACTTCGTAAAACAGATCCAAAAATTGTGAAATCAATAAAACTCACAAACAGGCCAACAGATCACGGTCTTATCTCATGATATTCTCTGGACCTTGATCTATGATCCGCTCTCGCGTTTCTCTTCGGTGAGTGCACAGTGGTGTCAGCTTATTAGTTCTGCTTCTTCCACCAGAAGCAGAGGCTGAGAATGGATGGCAGACCAGAACCTTCTGGCGGTATGTGCTCCCCCAACACACCTATAGATTAAATACCAGCCCAGCCAAGAGACAGGAGTTCAAGACCCATTGACCTGTGTGGAACTTGTGGAACCGTGGTTTAAGAGAAAGTATGGTCAAACTAAAAGATGCCCGGGATTTGCCTCCCGCCAAGCCTAGAGAAAAGCTGTAAAGGGCTTTTGCATCAAGGGGGTGAGGGACAACGGTTTTTTAAACAACAGAACACTTGACCTACACTTTTCTTACTTTGGTTGTCAGTTATCTCATACAATGTGCCAATACATATTGGCATTGCTTTAATCCGTAACGGGGTAATCTTAATGCAGTATTACCACAACCGCTCATTTCTTAACAACTAATGTAGATAATACATTATAATCATCACTGGGTAGAATCCATTCTTTCTTATATATTCTACGCACCTTACATGAAATGGATTCCTAGGCATTAGAATAAATTCTACCCAACTTACACGAAACATAATGTCTGCCAGACTACGTAAGACAACTTGACAAAAAAAGATGGAAAATAAGTCGCAAATTAGAGAAGAAGCTACCATTCTGAGTTTAGGGCAAATGTACCTACAGAATGCAAATTCAAAGATGCAAACAAATTAAAGAGATTCAAATGAACAAGAGTATACATGAAGCTAACGTCCACTTTTGCACGAAGCAGCTTTTCACCATATGATGAGTTGTCTAATGTTGACTTGCTACTGTCATAGAAAGTAAATTCAGGAGAAACAACCTGGAAATAGTAAAATAACGAAGACGGAATCAATAAACGCAGACATGTCTGTCTACATACATAGGAGCAGCAACAATCATAGACCCTGCTTTTGATGAATAAAACAGAAATAACAGAAAACCGCACAAAAAACTTTAGTTCAAAAATAACACATTTTCTGTTTTTGGATCATGAAAAGAATGAGTACTTGTTGAAAAGTAGTAGCATTAAGATAATGCTGAAGGCCCAATGCTGAGAATTTATATGCATGACTGCAAATCTGTTTGCAATTGATATTTAAAATTGTAAGGTAGACACTAGACACCATGCCTTGCTCCTCTACCATATTAAGTATTAAAGGATAAGGTCATTAACCTTCAGGGGAAACTCAATAGAAAAACACATGCAAACAAACAAGAAGATGGGAAGGGCAACACGCCGAACAGATAATTTCTATTGAGCACCCATGCTGGTATTTACGTAAACATACCTACATTGAGCTCATAAGTTTCATAATTTATTTCTGAAAACACGTCATAAATACATTTCCATGCTGTGGATAAATATAACCTCATGTAGATTTTTTTTAATAGGGTGTCGCTAAGCATAGCCCTTGGAACTGTGGTATCGCAGTAATGAGTTAAAATTGTTCTTCAAATTTTTCATTAATTAACTCAAATCATCAAAAAGTAATCTCCATGTTTAGCCCTCCAACAACTAATAATTAATTAAAGGACTCCCTCCTATTAATTACTCATTTAAAAAGTGTATATATCTTGAAAACTACAGAGTATATTATCATTGATAAATAAACATAGTCATAACCCATAAGGGCTATGGTTAGCAGTTTCCTTTTTAATAAGCTAGAAGTGCATCCTTGTAACAATATGTTAATCCCTGCACGTTTTGCAACAGTTACGCTGACCAAAATTCTGAAGCAATATTTATCAGCCAAATAAAAAAAATAGAATAAAATAAGAAAAATAGGCAGTTGTCCCGTACTCCAGCATATTTCAGACAGTACAAAATATATGGCACATTTATATCGAAAAAGGTGGATCACTAGTCACTTCCTCACTACTACCCACATGAAAATGTAAAAATACCTGCGCTTCAAAACTATAGCTTTGCACTTGGCTTGCCCCACTCTGGACATCATCTGAAGTATAAAACAACTCTTCGATGTTCTTGGGACTGTTTTCACAATAATCATTGTTACTCTCCACAAACAAAATTTCAACACCATCTTCTTGGGACACAGAGTAGCTGCTATCATTGCTTAAATATGTATACTTTCTCAATAGCAAGCCATTCTGAACAAAAGACAAAATGAAATATGACAACAGGTTCAAGGAAAATGCACTTTCAATACATGCAAACAATACATAATAGAAATTCATATTTTACTGATGGACAGCCACATAAAAGAACTTCTTAGATTCACTACGCATGCTAAGAAGATGATCAGTGGGGAAAAATATATAATCGGGTCAAACAGTTAAGGAAATAATAGTACCTCAATTGTCACATTAAAAAATCTCAGCCTCTTGCCACGCCCGATAATGATAATATAGTTAGCTTCGGATGAATGAAATTCCTTCACCTCCCCCTCAATGGTGAGACGAATGGTCTTACCACAACCATCATACATGTATTCATCAATACCTACTGCATCAGCCACTAGCTTCCTACTAGGGGATAAGTGCACGATATCTTCTGTCTGCTTATAAAAAGGAGCAGACAGAATTATGCTGCTATTTTTTACAATTGGATCATTTCCAGGATCCATCATTTCTTCTCGACCAGTTATTGCCCCCAAAGATGGCACAAAATACTCACAGACAGCAAGTAAAAAATCAGGAACAACAAGAATCCGAGGCTGCTGAATCCGAACTACAAATGACATTGACGAAATTCGCCATCGGCAATCCATCAAGAACATTGTAGAGGTTGGAGGATCATAGTTCACATCAGGTGACATTTGTTTATGAGCATCACTGCATGATCCAAGCATCAGGCGCATTTCAGGTTTTGTATCGGGGCGACTGTCTAGAATAGAGAACTTAGGGATGGTGACATAAAGATCAGCTTCAGATAAAGAAGTCATGCGGTATGACACCCAGAGACCCTCAAGCTGCAATTACAACAGAAAAATAGTATATAATGCAAGACAAAAATACTGTTAAAAGAAATGGTGCACTGAACTTGCTAAGCATCTAACTGAAACTGGCATAACTCCTTGAAATTGACATGCTCGGAATTAGTAACCAAATACGTAACAAGACGAGTACTCACAGAAACATGAGCTAAACATGATTCCTCATGGACTCCATTGCATAAGTCTAGCAAGGCATAGCCCACTTCAACAGCCATTATTGTAACTGTACGTGACAGGAGTATTTGACTATTCAGGTTAACTTTATCAGCAAGCAACCGTATTGTATCTTTTGAAGTAGATTTGTTGCTACGGAATGGAGGTGGAAGTATAGGTGGCTCAGAGAAGTTCACGTACAAACAATCAAGAATTACATTGTATTCCTTATCTGACATCACTCCATGCAGCAAGCCTACCTGTTTCAGAATGAGTTAAGTTATAAACATTACACACACTGATACAAATAGATAATTAACTATTAATGCAACACTTTAATATGACTTAGAGGACATCAGTGACAGCCCTATTTCAGCATGTGTTAAGAAAAAACAGTTATGGGGATAAACTGGTATAGTAACAGAGTTAACGACAAAATTCATGCCTTATTTCCGAAAGAGTTTTGGGTCGGCTAACATGAACCAACATATGATATCTGAGTTAAAAACAATAATAAGAGAAAAGGGAGGTATATAAAATCAGATCAATCCTCCACATGTATACTCTCCCTCCAGTTCACCCTCCAAAATCATACTCATCGAACCAAAGAACACCACTCTAATCCACGTTAGTCTAGGTCATCCTCTCCCTCTCCACTTTGCCTCCTCTCCCCACCTCTCAATTCGTCTAACAGGTGCATATAAGAAAAAGAAAAAAAATGTTGAACATTTTCAGTAGCACCAATCTATAGGGCCACCAAGACTTTCAATGCGCTAGCTCTGACCTTCCTAGGAATCAAATGCATTCCTTATTTATCCAAAAGTGGGCTGGAGCATCACCATTGAACATTTTCAGTAGCACCAATCCTTTGTCATAAATAAGTAAATAACAGACTATTCTAGCAACCTCAGCAATATAATTCGACATCTGAATACTCTCAACAGGACAACATGCCTGTGTCAAAAGAGTGTTTAGCATTACAGATGTGAAAAACAAAACCAGAGCAAAGACACATATAAGAACCATAATTGAGTTACATGCATATTCAATATCTAATATTTAGTCTCTGCAAATAACAGATAACATAGCAAGTATAATAGAACCATTCACATAACTTGAGTGTGCTGCAGCATCCAATTATGCTCACACCCAAGTTGCTCAAATCATGAGAACCAGATAACAGGATAAGCTTAAAAAAATAAAAATGTGTTATAATATTAAAACCCTTAGCCGGGGAGACAAAAGCCAACCTTAACATCCAATGCAAATGTAGGGACCTTACGAAAAACATCCCGAAGACTGCGGCGTACAAAAATATGAATGTCTCTGCCTTCACGTATCATTGGTTTTCCAATACATCCATTAATCCCAACAGCCATATTAATACCTATAACCTGCAGTATGCATGTATAAGAATAGAAGCAGCCAAGCCTTATTTTCGAGGGAAAAGAACATTATATATTACCAACTATCACCCGTCAACTAATAATGTACAGACTAGAAATCGTTATTTCATATCCCAAATATTTAATTATACAAAGAAAATGACATAGCCACATTCTGACTACGCATTCGGCCACATAACTTATTAAAAGCTGCTAACAGACCATCAAATGAAGCTTGTTTGATGGTTTGATATTAGTTTTTAATAAGTTTGATGACCGGAGTTTTAGTAGGAAAGTTGTTGTTATAGCACTTACTTTAGTCTGTATTATTATTGGTAGATGGGTGTCAGTACTATTTAAAGTTATTTTCTCATTTTTTCAATAGTTACAAACAGCACCAAATACCTCGGCGTCAAGAACATCAATGTGGACTGCTGAAGGATCTTTTTCAGGGCATCCAATCCAACTAACCTCATTCTTAATTCGAAGATGGCCAAGATCAAGTTGCATGAACCTGCATTATCAACAGATATTAGAATAATATGTATTGCTGAACACATGTGGAACTACATTAGATCACATAAAAGGGAGACATGACATATTTGCAAACGAGATATATATAGAAGTTCAGCTACACACGAATGTAAGAAAGAGGTTGAAAATAACAGCAGAAGAGATCATCATCAACTGAGTGTCCTCATCATTTTATGGAAAAAGGAATCATATTGGACTAGAACAACATGAAACAAGTCAAACTGCTAAATAAGCAAAGTTGAAATAAATAATCTAGATTGGACAGTCACTAACTCTTCACTTGTGGAATTCCTTGGTACAACTATTAGAGGAGTGTCCAGTGAAAGATCCAGCTTTATTGAAGTGGCTCCATCAACCTCATATTTCTCTATAAACCACTCGATCCCTCCAACTTTATCTACAAACTTAATAGCTTCCTCAGTATGTGGAGTGGCAAGCCCCATAAAATATGCAGAAATCTGTAGAAAAAGATACTGGAATTGGTCAATATAAGGACTAATTATTTCCTTTTCAAGTTTAGCAAATTATTCAAAGACCAGAAGGAGAAACCAAGAAAGTATTCCACAAAGAAATAAAACACAAAAAAGTAGAAAATGCAGCTACAAAATGTAAATAAATAAACTCACCTCTTGAACAAACCTATAGAGGAAGACAATTCGAACTGCTGACAGACGGCCACGCAGGCTATATTCATACCCTTCATAATCATCATCTTCAGAATTGTGAGAACTAAATGCAAACTGAGACAAAAAGACACTCTCTTAGTACCAGATATTTATTAGAGATTGCACAAGTGAAGTGGGTGGGCAATTTTTTATGTGAGGGAGGAGGGGCTCCAATGAACTTAATATTATTTTGGTGCACCTTAAATTAACCACAACTTCCCTTGAATGCAAATTATATGCGTACCTAAGCATCAGTTGTTATATCCATTTTTCAAAAAGAAAATATGAAACCTCTTACTATAGTTTATCAAAACAAATGTCACCAGTGTCCCCACACCACCAAATTTTATTGAGGCAGAAGACAAGGACGAAATTTAATTGGGGCAGAAGACACAGACCTCCACCCCTCTTTATTAAAGCTCACATATAACTGATATAAGGTAGGCGCGAATAACTTTCCCTTCTTTCTTTTTGAAAAAGCTCAAACAAATATAATTAGTTATGCGGGAAAGGAGTGAAACTAATATAGAGTAGAATTGTCAACTAGATATTCTTCAAGACTTCAACCGTCAGTAGTAAGTAATAACTGTCCAAATGTATAAATAAATTGTTTGTACCTGAATAAGTGATTCGGTCCCTTGATTACGTATATCACAAAGCCAACCCCATTGCTGGTTTGACCCCAGTGTTAGATCACAAAGTCGGAAGTTTCCCAGTGTGCCTTCTATGGAAGTAGAACTAGGATGAACCTAATGATGAATAGTGTTAGCACACAAAACAACAGGGGATGGGGAGGGGGGCTGGTTATGTGTAAAAATAATACGTAGTAGAAGGTGACTATAAACAAAATAAAATAAACTTTACGAAACTTCCCAAAGAGAGGATAAAAGAAAAGCTCAAGTAAATAAAAAGTCTCACCTTAATATCAAGCATAAAACATTCTTGTACAAGCATTGCAAGCTGAGAACCATCCTCTTTATTAAGGAAGACTGTAACACTGTCGACGTTCATGTTCAAATTAAATACAACGCGACCTTTCCCATAACCCAGCAATCCTTTTACATATTTATGCCCATGATCTTCTATCTTCTCCTTATTAATAGATATCTCATCAACTGGATCTTTTGTGACGTTTTTACCAGTAACCCCACTGCTTGCGGAACTCATATCAATAGTGAAATTAATCAAAGCCACAAGAGTAGGTCTGTTGCAGAAGAATTCCAACTTGGACATACTAATACTCACCTGAAAAAATCAAATCTTAGAAGTAATTAAACAATGATCAATAAAACATTGGAAGAGTAATCAGCAAGTCAATGTATTATGTTGTGAGTTTGTGTAGATTTATTTCTCTTAGTCAAGGCACATGAAAATTACCTGTGTATCTATGCCATCATAGTCGAGGGAGCCTGGTTGACGTGTAATGTATGAAAGAGAGACAAAATCAGAGTCATCTGAGCTTCGTGTTTCATAATATATTTCAGCAAAGGCATTCCGTCCCTTAAGTGAATCCTTCTCCGGGGTAATGGCTTCACCGTTATCCGGTAATGATAAAAAATCTTGCAAGGCATCCTTGAATACATCATCATCTTCCATTGTCATAAAAGCCATCTCCTTCCCCTGGGAATCTGTTGTTCCAGGCGAGGTAGTTGCAGAGTGATCTGAGAGAACAGAGCATGCCAAGTATTGTGGACTTGAAGATACAGAATATTGAAGTTCGTCCTTAATTTTCATCGAATGCAATTTCATCTTTACTGTTAAGTCACCACTAGATTGTGAAACATGCACCTGCACAGAATACATAATTATCAGGTCCTGGGTGAAGGTGCTATTACCATTCACAAACTAAGCAGTTAGCAAAGCAAAGGCTTATAAAAACTAAAAAGGAACGTTATAAATACACAAAACAATGTCGTGATTGGGGGGTTTTATAAAAGCAAAAGGATTGTAGAAACCACATCACTAACATAAAGAAATAGATTCCATACAAAAAGTTTGACAACGACAAAATTTTCAGTATCACCCAAAAAGAATATGTGAAGTGATAAACCAAGGCAAATACTACATTGGGGGAGCACTGACATCTCCACTGCAAGAATCATTAAATATTTCATTTACACCAATACATATGATATACATTGCTACTAGATCAAAACAAATATCACATACTTCCTCTGTTTTTTTGTTGCAACACTTTGACTTTTACACTATTCACATATTGTATTACGACTACGTTTTATTTATTAATGCATTACAAATTTAAATTATGAAAAATATTATAAAATTCGTCTCAAAGTAAATTTTCAAAATATGATATTTTATATATTTCTACTAATAGCAACCTAAATATATCAATGGTCAAATTGTGAGTTGGAAAAAGTGAAATTCAATGGGTTGCAACTAAATAAGAACGCGGGTAGTAATATCTATTGACTGTGTAAAGAAGAAACAAAATTTGGAGTAATCTATAACTACAGAGTTGGGCAGATCAGGGATTATTCCTCGCATTAAAAAGATATTGAAACAATAAATCCCACAAAAACACCTATTGAAACATAGAGAGATCAAACCTTCCCACCAACTGCAAGAGCCTCAAGGATTAGTGTTTCATCGTCACTATCTTCTGTCCCATCTCCAGTCTACAAATTGTTAAAAGGATTAGACTGAATGCACCATTACCATGTGCTACGCATTAAAATCCTCAATAGCATTCGCCAAAATAGAAGAACTCCTCATCAAAAGAGAAAAAACTCAGAGGTATGTTCAATACGGATGCAATCTAAAGAATGATTATTACTGGATTATAAATAATTGTGGACCACCTCACCTTCCCATATAGTGATAGCTTCATCTCTACCAATGATCCATTAACAACAAGCTCAGCCATCTTTTCATTTATAGCACGGGTCTCAGCAAGTTCTAAGCTACCATCACTTAGTTCTCTAAGTATACTAACTGATGGGGGAGCCTATATCCAAACACATAGACAATATATGAAGTCCAACGCTAACCAAAATAAAGGTAAATATATATATATATATATATATATATATATATATATATATATATATATATAGGGAAGAGTTCAAATGAAAAGTGGTCTTCCCGTGCAAAGTGCAAAGTTTTCACTTTTTCATGTTTCGCTTGCACTTTTTCTTGTTTGCGTTGCACTTTTTGGCCATTTTGATTTTGGCCAAATTCGGCCAAAATGACGGTGGCAGTTTTGTAAATAAACCAATTTTTTTGAGCTAACGTGAAAAAGTGCAACGAAAGCAAGAAAAAGTGCAAGCGAAGCATGAAAAAGTGCAAACTTTGCCCTTTGCACGTTAAGACCACTTTTTATTTGAACCATCCCATATATATATATATATATATATATATATATATATATATATATATATATATATATATTTAAAAACTGATTATACAAATGTATATCTTACAGAAGCTTGATATGTAGCCCGTACAAGAGTTCTCAACCAAAGAGTTTTCTCCCCTTCATTGTGAAACTCTATTACCAGTGTGCTAAATGACTCCAGGGCCTGTAAAGCATAATGTAAAATACTAAGTAAAACCAAGCTACACCCACAGTAAAGGAAACAAAAACAGGGCTCTGATACTGCAGATATCAAATCATTTTCTCAATTAGATTATGAATCAAAAGGAGGATCAAACCTCCATGTATGTAAGATTTTGATTTGTCACTTTTAAAGATGAATGAAACAGGAACTCAGTAATTTATACAGCAAGTGGACCAACCTAAGCAAGCATAGACCAGAAATATATTTGCAAAAATCATATCACTTGCTCTTATTTCCTGTGAGGAGGGAAAGAAGCAGGCGTGTTTTCAGAGGGCTTGAGTCCCAAGACTACTGTTATTAGGAATAAAAATCGGAGGCGCAGTTCTGGTTTAGACAAGTGCTGAAAGATCATCTAGTCAAATGTTGTTTTTGACACCTTTGTATACACGTGCATATTGATGAACTTCCTTGTATTCACATGTTGGCACCTCCTTGGTGCAATTATAATGGAATTTTTTATTTTAATGATAAAAAACTTGCACAACATTATAAATACACTGTTATGGTGTGCCTGGGATTCTTAGATAGGAGATAAAATAAGAAAGGAAAAAAATGATTTCCCTTTAGTGTTACCACATCTCGTAATTGGATTAAGGTAAAATAACAAAGGAAATTAAGTAATAACTCATTCTTTATTATTTGAAGTATTGATTTTGGAGGGAAATAAAGGAATAATATTATAAATTTATGATTTTAACCATCATACCATATCGTTGTCAAAGGGTAGACGGGTAGACATTGAGCTACAACTAGAGAAAAAAATATGCAGTGCGACAGATCAGAGAGCTCCCTTCAGAGAGCTCCCTTAAGTGAGATTTTGGTGAACCTCCGCCAAATTTGAGTTATCCGGGCACCCAGCCGATTTTGCAGTAATGATTCAATCTCTAACAAATCAAAAGAATCGAAGAAGACATTTGAAGAAGAAATCGCAAAAGGGAAATGTGATTTAATTGAGATAGGAGCAGTGGAAGACTGGGAAGTCATCAGCAATGATCTGTTCATTCCAGATTCACCAAAAGATATCCAAAAACTATCCAAATGGCTAGACTACACCCGATAAGCAAGTTTTCATTCGGTACAACTCCATTAGGATGAAGATGCACTCCTTAGGCTTTTGCGGGAAATTTTTTGTTGGATTGCTGGACAATAAATGAAGGAGAGCCTTGGTGCACCATATTGTGTAACAGAAAAATAAAATCAACGGGGTAAACCGTTGCCCAGATAATCAACGATAAAAATACCATTGCCCAAAGCCAAAAGGCTAAAACCAATTTTATTCCAAGATGAGCTAGAATGAACCCTGGCAAGGGGTATAAATAGCCTTCTAAGAGATGTTGGGCTGTAGGCTTCGGCTCATTCAGATCTGGGAGCCAAATAAACAAAGAACAGCAGCCTGCTCTAGTTAAATGTGCAGGCAGCCCTAGTTGGGCCTGTTTCTTTGGTGGCAGTCAGGCCCAGAACCTTATTAAGTGTTTTACCCTATTGTTTGCCTATATATATTGACTCCTGTACTTGTAAACTATGACTTGTATCTTTCATCATCTAAATAAGAAAGAAAACCCTAGTTGCCCCTGTGGATTAGGTCAGTAACACTTACTGGCTGAACCACGTTATATTTGTGTGCCGTTCTTCTCGTTCTTTTCTAGTTTTTCAGATTCGTGTGTGTGAGAGATCTAACCCTAACAACTGGTATCAGAGCAAGGTTAGCCACCACCACATATTTGACCGCCACCGCTGCTGCCGCCCTGCGTCTCCAGCCTCCTTGTGCCACCAACAGTGCGCTGCCGCAGAAGAATATAGCCGGCAGATTGTGAAGGACTGGGACAATGGCAGATGACGGAAAAACCAAAGTCGAGAAGTTTGATGGACAAGATTTTGGATGGTGGAAGATGCAAATTGAGGATTTGCTGTGTCAGAAGGATTTGGATCAAGCCTTGACAGGGAAAAGACCAGAAAAGATGAGTGATGATGAATGGGCTGCTCTAGACAGGAAAGCTTTGGCTGTTATCAGATTTACCCTAGCCAAGAGTGTGGCGTTTAACATCTTGAAGGACACTACTGCATGTGGTTTGATGAAGGCTTTGTCAAACATGTATGAGAAACCATCGGCATCAAACAAGGTATTTCTTATAAGACAGCTAGTAAACACCAGAATGAAAGAAGGTGCATCCGTTACCTCACACATATATGAGATTAATACTATCATATCCCGTTTACTATCTGTTGATATTAAGTTTGAAGATGAAGTCCAAGCTTTATTCTTGTTATCCTCATTACCAGAAAGTTGGTCAGGAACAGTCACTGCGATTAGCGGTTCAACCGGAACCTCTAAACTCACATTTGAGGGCATTCGTGACATTATCCTAGGAGAGGATATAAGAAGGAGGAGTTCTGGTCTTCTGGAGAATCTTCTAGTGCTTTGTTAAGTACTGAAGGAAGAGGTAGAAAGAAAGAGAAGGGAAATGGCAGAGGTAGAGCAAAGTCTAGAAAGAGGAGCCAGTCAAAACCGAGAAAAGATATTCAATGCTGGAACTGCAAAAAAACGGGCATTTCAGAAATCAATGCCATAAATCTTCAGAAAGGAAGGAAGCTAAGTAGCACGGAAACGGGAAACGGGAAACGGGAAACATCGGAAACACCATTTGCCAAAAATACAGGACACGAAACGTGGGGGAAACGCGCAAATATTAAAAATATAGGGGTTATTTTATAAATATTATATACACGTAGTATATATTCGTGAATTTTTGTATGTGTATATATATATTCACACACACATATATGTATTATTAAATTTACACACACACACAAGCTATTAAATTTCACTTTGGCTACCACCCACAGACACCCACCGACACTAAACAGTAAACACAATAAATAGACCACTGGTGGCTACGACCTGTACAACACGACCCTGGCCCTGCTGAAAACGTTTTTAGAACCACCTGCTGAAAACGACGAAGGCAGGGGATGAGGGGAACTATTTCAAACTCTCAGAAACTTACCTGAACGACGAAGACCTGTGATGAAGCCGGCGAAGTCTGTTGAAGCCGGCGAAGTCTGCTGAAGCCTGCGACGGAACTTGACTGCTATGCGACGGAACTTGACTGGTATGCGTAGGGTTGAAGACTTGAAGAGTGAAAGTAAGTTGGGCCAATTTTTTTTATCAGAACCGGTTTTTTTTACTGGGAAACGGGTTTCCAAACTTCCCAAAATTAAGAAACTGCCCAGAAACGCGTTTTCCCCGTTTCCCACGATCGGAAACGTTCGTACGTTTCCAAAACGGGGAAACTCCTACCCCCAGCCGTTTCCGTGCTTCATTGGAAGGAAGTAAATGCAGCCACTGACGATTCAGATGATGCCCTTATCTGTTGTGTTGAAAATTCAACAGAAACGTGGATTATGGATTCTGGTGCATCATTTCATGCTACTTTCAGCACGAAGGCGATGAAGAATCTACAGACAGGTAATTTTGGTAAAGTTCGTTTGGCTAATAACGACTCTCTTGACATCACAGGGATGGGTGACATAGACTTAAAAACTTCATTAGGCACCACTTGGACATTGAAAGACGTTCGGGTCATTCCAAGCCTTAAGAAGATGCTGATTTCTATTGGGCAGTTGGATGATCAGGGATTTGATGTTACTTTTGGTGAAGGACAATGGAAGTTATCAAGGGGAATCTTGTAATCGCCAGAGGCAAAAGGAGGGGTACTTTATATATGGTTGAAGCTCCTGATGATGAGATGAATGCAGTGACCAGCGGGCTGAATCCATCCAGTCTGTGGCATCAACGGCTAGGCCACATGAGTGAAAAGGGAATGAAGATGCTCGTTACAAGGGGGAAACTTCCAGATTTGAAAAAGGTGGATTCTGAGTTCTGTGAGCCTTGTGTACTTGGCAAGAAAAAGAAGGTTTCTTTTGTGAAGACAGGTCAGACACCGAAAACTCATAAGTTGGAGCTGGCTCACACAGATGTGTTTGGGCCAACGCCAGTCTCTTCCCGGGGAGGATCAAGCTACTATGTGACCTTCATTGATGACTCAACACGCAAGGTATGGGTCTACTTTCTTAAAAATAAGTTTGAAGTTTTCAATATTTTTAAGAAGTGGAAAACTACTGTTGAATTGGAAACTAATTTGAAGGTAAAGAGCTTGAAATCGGGCAATGGTGGTGAATACATTAGCACGAAGTTTATTGATTACTGTGCTGAACGTGGCATTCGGATGATAAAGACGGTTCCAGGCACTCCTCAACAGAATGGAGTGGCAGAAAGGATGAACAGACCTTTGAATGAGAGGGCCAGAAGTATGAGACTTAATGTTGGGCTTCCAAAGATGTTCTGGGCTGATGCAGTGAACACTGCCGCTTATTATCAACCGGGGGCCATCAGTGCCATTGGGTTTCAAGATACCGGAGGAAGAGTGGAAAGGAGAAGAGGTAAAGTATGGGCATTTAAAGGTATTTGGATGTAGCGCTTATGATCTTATCAAAGATGGTGATAAGTTAGATGCTAAAGCCAAGAAATACACTTTCATTGGATATGGGGGAGATAGCATGGGTTATCGACTTTGGGACTTTGAAAGTAGAAAGGTAGTTAGAAGTAAACATGCTACATTCAACGAGGCTGAACTTTATAAAGACAGAAGCACAGAAAACTCAAAGATTCAGAAAGAGCAGGTTGAGTTTGAAAATGATGTCATCAGAAACAGAGAGTCTGAAGATACTCTAGACAGTGGGAGCATGGAGAATGATTCATTTCAGTGGGAGCAGACTATGAAAGAAGAAATCGATGCCTTACACAAGAACAAGACATGGGTTCTTACTAAGCTTCTGCCGGGTAAGAAGGCACTTCAAAGAAAATGGGTATTCAGAATCAAGGATGAACCTGATGGGTCAAAACGGTACAAAGCTCGTTTAGTGGTCAAAGGTTTTCAGCAGAAAAAGGGAGTAGATTATAATGAGATTTTTTCTCGAGTGGTTAGAATGACCACCATCAGATTGGTTCTAAGTATTGTAGCTGTAGAGGGCTTACATCTAGAGCAACTAGATGTTCAAACAGCATTTCTACATGGCGATCTTGATAAGAATATCTACATGGCACAGCCTGAAGGATTTCAGTTTGTTGGTAAAGAAAATCTGGTCTGCAAACTAAAACGGAGCTTATATGGTCTAAAACAAGCATCGAGGCAGTGGTATCTGAAGTTTGATAACTTCATGATAAGGACAAGTTACAGAAGATGTGAGATGGACCATTGTTGTTATGTGAAGAAGTTCAAGAGTTCATATATCATTCTATTTCTCTATGTAGATGATATGTTGATAGCTGGTGCAGATATGAAAGAGATCAGCAGGTTAAAGAAACAAATGTCTCAAGAATTTGAAATGAAAGATTTGGGTCCAGCCAAACAGATTCTAAGGATGAGCATAATCAGAAACAAGGAGAATGGTTCTTTAACATTATCCCAGGAGAAGTACATTGGGAAAGTGTTGGAGAAATTCAAAATGAATGGTGAGAAGACTAAACCAAGAAACACGCCTTTGGGAAGTCACTTCAAGCTTACCAAAGACCAGTCTCCGAGAACAGACGAAGAGAAAGCAGAAATGACTAAAGTTCCTTTTGCATCTGCAGTTGGTAGCCTCATGTATGCTATTGTGTGCACGAGGCCAGATATTGCTCATGCAGTCGGGGTTGTTAGTCGCTTCATTTCAAAACCGGGGAGGGAACATTGGGAAGCAGTTAAATGGATACTTAGGTATTTGAAGGGTACTACAAAGATGGGGTTATGTTTCAGAGGTAAAGACGTGATTTTGAGAGGGTATTCTGATGCTGATTTGGGTGGATGCAAAGAGACATTAAAAAGCACTACGGGGTACATTTTTACAGTGGGAGGAACTGCAGTTAGTTGGATGTCCAAACTTCAGAAAAGTGTAGCTCTTTCAACAACCGAAGCAGAGTACATGGCAGTTGCTGAAGCCCGTCAAGAGCTGGTTTGGTTGAGGAACTTCCTTGACGAGTTAGACAAAAAGCAAGCAGATTACTCGTTACACTGTGATAATGAGAGTGCGGTGAAACTTGGCAAGAATCCAGTCTATCATGGGAAAACAAAGCACATTGGGATGAGATAATCACTTTGTCAGAGGGTTGATCACTGCAGGAATGATGAACTTGAAGAACATCTCAGGTGCAAAGAATCCAGCAGATATGTTCACTAAATCTGTGACGCTGGACAAGCTGAAGTTCTGTGTAACTTCAGCTGGCCTTCAAGAATAATGTTGAGAAGGCAGGTGGCAACTAGGAGGAGCTAAACAAAGATGAAGTTTACAGAAGTACAGAGGAGTGGAGTGTAGTTGATCGTGTTTCGAAGTCTCCAAGTGGGAGATTGTTGGGCTGTAGGCTTTGGCCCATTCGGATCTGGGAGCCAAATAAACAAAGAGCAGCAGCCTGCTCTGGTTAAATGTGCAGGCAGCCCTAGTTGGGCCTGTTTCTTTGGTGGCAGTCAGGCCCAGAACCTTATTAAGTGTTTTACCCTAATTGTTTGCCTATATATATTGACTCTCGTACTTGTAAACTATGACTTGTATCATTCATCATCTCAATAAGAAAGAAAACCCTAGTTGCCCCCGTGGATTAGGTCAGTAACACTTACTAGCTGAACCACGTTATATTCGTGTGCCGTTCTCGTTCTTTTCTAGTTTTTCAGATTCGTGTGTGTGTGAGATCTAACCCTAACAAGAGAAACCCTAATCAAGCCCAAATTAATTAAATCCTAATTAAGGCATTAAGCTCATACTAACTCTACTAAGTACTCTACTAATAATAGGCCCAAACTAAAACATAACATTAATTTAATAATAATAAATAAAATTATAACGACAGCCCGCCCAAGCCCGTTCCCGCCCCATGCTCTTCCTGCTCTCTATCAATCCATCCTCCTTCAAAATAACCTTGTCCTCAAGGTTGAAATCTCGCAGATCGAGGACTGAAATTTCCAGCCATAGAATAGACTCGAAAATATCCTTCATCTCCTTCCTGAACCTTTTCCTGGCCGGTTATTTCACAGTACTCATGTTGTTGGAGGTCCAACTCCTCATCCTCCTCGGCTATCATTACCCGAAACTGCTTAAAGGGGCAGTCATGCCCTGGTGTAAATGGCTTCTTACACCTAAAGCATCATCCTTTCGCCCTCAATTTTGCTAACTCCTTTGGTGGAAGATGAGTGAAATGAGACCGTTTCGTAGGCTGCCCAGACAACCCTGACTTTGTCCCCGGAGGCTGTCCACTATCCTTCACAAAGCTGCCCCTTGATCCTCGTAAGCTGCCACCACTGGCAGTCAATGGAGGACCCGTGTTTTCCATTAAAACGCTGCTGGAACGTACCCCTGAAGGATTATAATTCGGGCTGCCACTTCCTCCACTTTGGATGGACAGATTATGCTCCACATCGCGAGCTAATTCCATGGCCGTCTCCAGGTTATCCAGCCGTAATAAGCGCAACGAACTTCGTATTTCTTCCTTAAGTCCACTCATGTAGTAGCCCAAATAATGATCGTCGGACAATCCTGGAACTTGGCTAACCAGTTGAACAAACAAGGTATTGTATTCCTCCACCGACCCAATTTGTTTGACGCCTGACAGACGTTCAAACCTGTTTCTCTGATATCGGGAATCGAATCTGGCCACCAGGGTTTGCTTAAATTCCTCCCAGAACATGCTAGGTTTGCGCGCCTTCAACCAAGTCACCCAATAGAGGGCAGCCCCTTCCATAGAAACCCTAGCTGCTGCAACTTGTCTGTCCGGTGGGGTCCTGTTGAGCTCAAACTGCTGCTCCACTCTCGCCAACCACCCCATTGGGTCTTTACCGTCGAACGAGGGAAGGAGGGCTGTGGCTGCGCTGGGCAGTCCGCCGTCGCTGGGCACTGTCACGGCCGCACTTCTGACCGCAGCCAAGGAAGTTGCCGGCGATACCGGCGGCACAAGGGCCTGGGTTAGCGTCGCCAGGGATGCGGTGATTTCAGCCAGCTGCGCTGGGCAGTCCTTATTCTTTTGTTTGTTGAACTTTCCTTTTTGGGCTGTACTTAAATTTTGCTACACTTTCCCTTTTTGGTAAAGTCCTTATTTTCTACTTTTTATCTTCTCTTTCATACTTTTCCACCCTCTCCTCCTACTCTTTCTACAATATTCATTACCCCTACTACTTTTCCATTAAACATTATGCCAAAGCCTATTGTAGCAAACATTACAATACAGAGGGAAAAGGTCATATGGTTAATGAGTGTTACGGGAAAAATTAGTTGATGTTCCTATAAAACCTAAATAAAAAGCAGGTGGGATGAAAGTGGGGGACAAAGGGAAAGAAGAGGTGACATTTGATGGTTATATTACTGTGAATTCTGGTTTGCAAATTCTGGGATAAGAATAGGGAGAATCAGGGATCAACTGAAGAACGAAGTATTAGAGCTGTATAAAAGGTGATTGATACAGAGCCTATTATTGGTTTCGCTAATAAGTTCCAGATACTGCAGAACATGGATTACTGTGATAATAAGTCTAAAGAAGCAGGCCAGAACGCCAAGGCTGGTGATATGAACACAAGTTCATATGGTTCTTTTAGTCTGAAAATACTGAACACTAATTCAGAGGAATGCACTGCTGAATATTATAGAGAATCAACGAAAGGAGACCTGGGAAATGTTTTTTTTAATGCATGAAATCTGAGGTATCTGAACTAGAAAAGGATGGTTTTATCCAACTTCCTGAAACTTAAGGAACTCTTTTAAAAACATTAGGTCAATACTTTGGTTACTCATATGCTGATTCTGGAAAAAGGGATGAAAATACAGGTGAGGGTGATAAGAAAGATTTCAGCGAAACAATAAAAGAACTCAAGGAATTCAGTGCAACTACTCCACAAGTTCAAAAGGAGGAAAGCGAAAAGTGAAGAGGCCCAACTAACCATGGTTATAACTTATAAGGCAAGCTGCCAAGGCAGCTTGCCAAGATAAAGGGTGATGTAAATCTGTCTTTGCTTGATCTACTGGATTAGGTACTTTGCTGGAAAATTGACAGGAGCCAAACTGCAGTGGCACTGCTGCAGACCTGGTATTGTGCTTTAATCTCATCATCATCATCATTATCCCAGTGCCGCAAAGGCTCCCACCTACAGTGGGGTAAGAGGGGTCGGATATACGCAATCTTACCCCTGTACTAAAGCACAGAGAGACTGTTTCCGGAGGTATTGTGCTGTCTATGATAGGTATTATGTACTTTCATGTCTCTATCAGTCTATTGGTTATTATCACCTAAATGCACCAAGCATGTCAGTCATTATGTTATTATCCTGACTTTGCATTTCATACCATATAGAACAAAGTAAGCCCACAACTTTTTAGAAAGCGGAGATCAATGTACTGTATAGTGATATAAATAATGATATCCCCCTACCTTCTGTAGATCCATGCCTCTGACACTGACAGCAATACAGGAAGGGGAGCCCCCGACATTTGTCTGAGGAACTTCAAGCACCTGTTTACCAGCCATGCTGCAGAATTGAACAACTTTAGAAATCTATGAATTTAAATTCTCATAACACTTCTACTTTAGTCAACTAAAATATAAGAAAGAGCGATCAATAGCTCATTGAATGAAATGGCTTTTAATAGAAGGTTGACTTCCAAAGCAAAACATAGAAGTGCTCAAACTAGAAGTAGGACGAAGGGCAATCAGGCTAACATTAAAGATTGGCAGATAGCATAGTTAATAAGCTAAATTGAAATATGCAATTAAAAGTGGGGCACCTGGAACATCTTTGATAAGTGTGGGACCCTTCAGACTCCAACACATAAAGGTACAATCCAGAAAGTACAAGATAACATGGTTGCCAAGCAGCAACGGAATATCCAAACCCCTGAATCAGGAATATATAAGGCCTGTTATAAGACAACATGACAAGATGAAAATTAAATAAGGCACAGCTCCGATAAGTTTCACACCTTCCATACAAGTATCCGAGCATAAGTTGCTAGATCTGGTGGATGCCAGTGTGAAAGTTCTGCTTGAGTGCTTACAAAAAGTGGATTCTGTTCAGCATCAGGAATTGTACGATAGAGTATATTTAACAATTCCAACAATCTGTGAAGTCTGGCTGGTGAGAAATGAACTCCAATACTTGGAAGTTGAACATAGATGCGTGTTGAAGAATGGCTGGGATGGGGAATTTTAATCTTCAAGAAGAAAACATGAAGTTCATAAGTTTAGAAAAAAAATTAGTTTATAGCCACTATGTGACCGCTGCCAAATAATCAAAAGACACTTTGTCTATCACACCTGATCTACAATTACAGCCATTCTGCATCTATCAACTAGGGAATATATGTTATTAATGTCTTCCAAGGTAGGAGAATTAGAAGGTTGGCATGCCAAAGAGCACATCTGATTATCTGAACCACAATCTGTAAAGAATGCTGCTATATCCCTTCCAGAGATATAAAAATGAGAATACAGACTCTGTGCCTGCTCGTGGGATTGGCCATCCTCCTAGAATCAAGGACAGACAATTAAGCAATAGTGATCCAATACAAAAGGACAGAGACTTTTTGAAAAATCACACCTTTGTTTGTAATGTAAAATGGCCAAAGTCCAAAAGAAGATGGCTATCACATTTAGATGAAAGATGTGATCTGATGGGAACTCTAACTTTAGGAGCATCCAAATCAATATCAAGAGCAAATCTGGACGTAAAATGATATCAGCATGAAATCCCAAGCCCAGATTGAATTGTCCCCCAGAAAAAGCACGGCACATGTTAGTCTAACAGGAAAATAGTAAAACCGGTGATCCAATTAATAGGCCAACCTGCTTTGCTCTTCCAACGCCATTTGAAACTGCTCCTGAGCTCTCCGAGTCATTTTTTCAATTTTATTCTGCACTTGGTTGATTCAAGCCATCAGCATTTAGCATAACATAATTTCAAGATGGCAGCATATTTGTAGTAATACAAGATGACCACATGATGACATCACCTGGAGCACAGTTGCAGTTTCTAATGCAACAGTGGGGCTAATCGCATTGCTCCTCTTTACAAGGTCTAAGAATCGATCATAACTCTCCATGAAAATCTATCAATCACATTAAAATGAAATGATTATACAAAGTACTTGGAAGATGTTGACAATGAATATATAATAATAATAATAATAATAATAATAATAATAATAATATTATAAGAAATATTAATAGTAATAATAATACACATTAATAATCTATTAATGCTAGTCCTGGGTTCATATCACATGTATTTAGGCAATTGAAAGTTTTTGGAAAACACGTGAAGAAGCATGTTGAAGAAAATAATAGAATAACAAACATCGACCATCACTACTAACTTCAACTTTTCATGAAAATGAAACAATACCACAACAATAACAATAAAAATCATTTGGCACGCAAAACAGGCAATTATATTTAAACATCTAGTCAGGCAAGTTACTATCACACCTTTGTTTGTTACATCTATATATTTTTAGAAAGGTCATATAAATAGTTGGGAAGAAATATAAATGCATAGCTAGATATCAAGATATGTGGATTGAGATGCAGGGGTGCAAGCACCAAAAGACATCAATATTTGACAGGAGGAGATAAAATCAATCTAAATTGTACATAGCTGTGATAGGTAGAGAGTTTACAATTTGGTTTACATTTGACGTTACTGATGTGTGAGTCTAGGTGCGAGTCCGCACCTTATGCTCATGTAATGAGGCGTGAATTTATGAAGGAAAAGTATAACTCACTGTAACATGAGAGGGAGAAATTCTTGCAGATAGCCTCCAATCAACATTTTCTCCAGATGGTGAGTGCACAAAACTAGCTTCTAATGCATTTACCTTCTGCTCACTACAAACACTCTGCAAATACAAAATACAGCCTTAACATATAAGCAAATACAGACGTGAATATAAAACCAATCTAAATTGGCAAATTCCTACCACTTCTGTTATTTCTTTTTATTCTAGAGTTTTTAAGGTAAAGGTTGAGATACAATTTACCATAAACATTAAAATGAAAATGACTACCTCCATATAAAACTTGATATCAAATGATAAAGTTAATTTTCTTCTACTAACACACAAGTTAATGAGTAATTACATTTTACACATCTAGAAACTATACTAAAAGGTCTATTGGGTTAAAAACTGAATTTGAATATATATATATATATATATATATATATATATATATATATATATATATATATAAATTGGTACATGAATTGAGAGATTAAATGGGAGTTATGGCGGCCTCACTATATGCAATCAGTAAATAACTTATTGGTATTTTCGTTATAGCTACTCTCATTTTCTAATTGTAGTTGATAACTAGAATAACTGAGCAAGTATAACATGAGAAAACTAGGTAAGCAACAATATGATAGTTCTAGCTATAGCCATTATCTTATTGGCATTTTGTGTGTAGCTACCATCTCAACAAAAACAAGCAATACAAAAACATGAAAACTCTTAAGTGATCCCTCTGTAACTATATCGATGCGAGCCACTGCCTACATAAGCATGTGAAATAGGCATTATGAAAATTTCAGGCACTTTGACAACTGAAACATCATTTCTTTTTAAGATAAAGCTATTTCCTCCAGAAACTACAATATTGTAATAATAAATTAGTCAATAAAAAAGAAGCAAACATATATTTAATCTCAAGCATGAACATATGGGGAAAAAGAACCTGTGCAAGCGAACCCTCAGGAGAAGACAATCCATAAAATTTTAATGAGACATCACACTGTACAGTTTGATGTTTTAACTTAGTCAACACATTAAGATTTTCAAATCTGCCACAAAGAATTTCTGTCTGTTCAATATTGATGATTGCTGCTGCTGCCCTACCAATAGAAACATTGATCATATAGTTTATCATATTATGTGTCTCCTTCCCATGTTGATGTGCCAGATCCTCATCTGGCTGGTAACTTAGCAATTTATTGATGGCTTGCCATTCCTCCTTGGTCAGTGTATCTTCTACAGATTTTGAATCCTCTGAGGTCTCCCCAGCTGAGCAATCTTCTGAAGCAGCTCGCCTGATGTGCCAAAAAATATTAGACTACACTAAAAATAACTGATGTGACCTAACTCCTAAGCATGGTGAAAGTCAACTTCCAAAGAAGGAAGTGTTAAGAGACAAAGAAAAGCATATCAATAAAAAATACGACGAACCATGCAAAGGAAAACCAACTTCTGTTTCTAAGCATTCTTTGTTCAGCTGCTTCCTTTGATTTGACAGTTTCCACTTTAGCATGGGCAAGGAACCTAAAACAAAAACAGATGCAAAGTGCATCAAATAACTTCTGTCCTGGATCATTATGAACTTATGATAGGAACTAAAGTCTAAAACTACTGCACACCTCCACAGTAGAATAACCTTGGCATCAAGATCTTTCTCAATGCTTCTTATCTTGGAGTTATTAACATTTGACAACTTTTGCAATGATTCAGCATATAATTGTACATATTGCCGACGTAAACTACATAGATGCTGGATTTGATCCCATGAGAATCTGTAACTGTGAAAGACACAATTAAAAAATTAGTTGAAATGAAAAGTGGCTAGACATAAATAAATAAATAAATAAATAAATAAATAAATAAATAAATAAATAAATAAATAAATAAATAAATAAATAAATAAATAAATAAATAAATAAATAAATAAATAAATAAATAAATAAATAAATAAATAAATAAATAAATAAATGGATGGATGGATGGATGGGCGGATGGATGGATGGGCGGGCGGGCGGACGAACGAATGAATGAATGAATAAACAAATGATAAATACATAAGCAGCCTCATGATAAATACCCATAGAACATTGATCATAAATAAAATGCTATATAATATGATGTCTGAACACTAAAATCCAATACCCTACCACATTTTCTTTTGCTGCAGTTCAGCGTGGGCAGCATAGCGCCACCATAATCTGGGTCTCTCTGAAACTGGAGCCAATGGTCTTAAATGAGATACTTCTACATATGTCTTATACTTTGCAATAGCCTCCACGAGTCTGATCCAGTCGTGATATTGTGTCTGTAACATGACAAAATAATAATACAGTCATTTCCAAGGGAAGAATGGGAGAGCAGGAGCAAAGGTAGAATAGAAAAAAAAGAGTATTCAAGTTGGTACACAATCACACAGAGCCTTAGAAGCAGGACATAATGTCAGTGAATAAAGTTAAGAGGATAGGTTGAATAGAATTTATTTATTTTCACTGCTTGAAGTGAAGGAGCGCAGGCTAAATTGTTTTGCAATAGACTTCTACTTGCAAACCAAATCTATTTGTGCAAGTGTCAGTTAAGTGGCAAAATATAGTTATAGCATGGACAGCAGGCTGAAAAAAGTAGCTCGAGTTAGATGCTTCATTTAAAATGATCGCAATTTGGATAGATCAACACGAAAAAATGAATGGCGTGCACTTTGACAGAGTATATAAGTTACAGAGTATTATAAAGGGTCGTGCTAATTCATTGTACTTCTCAGGATGTGAAGATGTATTTTGGACAGGACATTTCATTTTATAATCAAATGCTTAAAAATGGAGAATTAGCAAAGGCATCAGTTTCTAGCTATTCCTTTCAAATCGACAAACATGAAGAGAACAACAGTTACAAAGCTATTAAAACCAAGCACACTTTTTCACAGAAAGCTGAAATAGCAAAAGTATAATCAATTAGCACCTCTGTAGCTGTCAAAGAAACATCACTGACAATCAAAGAAGCTTGCTCGTGAGGAACATTAGGATCACTTTTTTCTTGGTTTCCCAGCCGGTGATACTTAAGGACCCCATTGATCGGAGATACCAAGTAATTGTGCTCCCTGGCCCATGCACACATCACCTTATTGTTCTTTGCTGAGTCGCTAATGCCACTTTCAAATATCTAAGAAAGGTGGAGAAAGATACACGTCAAAGATCTACTGGCTTGCACATACAATGTTCATTTTATGCTTAACCATGTAGCTTACTGTTGAAAAGAATATGAAATTTCCTCATTAGAATATGATTTCATCCAACCAAACACGGTGAATATTCAAGGAGAAATCCAGATACAGGAAACAGCTACGCTGCTATATGCAATAAAGCAATAGACGGCTACCATTACAGTTGAAAGAAAAACAATACAGGTACATTAATGTACCTCAATCCATTCTCTAGGTGTCAGATCCTCCCATTTCTTGTCTAGCTTCCAGGGCTCACTGTTTGTATCATGGTATATTGCAAGCCTTTCAAGTTGAAGCAACTAGAACAATAGTGTTCATTTAGATCAGGCATCCATTTAAATCTTAAGGCCATTATTGTTTATGAATAGACATACGAAAAGTAACACTCAGAAATTAACATGATTACATGACCTGATGAACATGCAAAAATGCAAGATCATATTATTTTTTATGAGCTAGCAGAACAAAAGCGAAAACTGTTTCCACATAGACCAGACCATTTTGATTTCCTTTAATATGCTTTGAAGTTAGGACCTGTATTACGATATGTCAATATGCACTATGGCATGGATTTTAACTTTACCAGGACTCAATTCAATATTCCAAGTTGTTCACAAGACAGAAATGTAGAATCAATATTTCCATGGGAGTGTTTTGCTTGTATTCCGACATAATCTTTTAGAATCAGAAATTAGCATATCTTGTTGTGCGAGAAATGATTCCTTCTAATGTTTGTTGTATATGTTGTATTAAATAGACAAAATTTACTAGGGTATTTAAATTATCTTCTGTAGTAAACTGATTTTGACATATAATGATAAAAAACATCATAGTAGGCTGATTATCGTATACACTTATTATGATTAGGAAAATGACCTGTGTGGAAAATTTGTTTAGATCGAGTATCTTAGGATCATTTTTGGAAATTTGGGGAAGCATGTCCCTCTACTTCTCCGATATCTGATTCTTACACCTCAAGAAAGTGACTCAACTGACATCCAAAAAATTAATAATTATGATAATAATAATAATAAACTGGTTTTGATTCTAATTCCCCTCAAACGCGCAGTATCAGCTTACATATCCAAACACCGCTTACAAGTAATTGTGAGCTCTCATTCTTCCGGTCCAGAACAATATCCTACTTCCCTTACATACTTGATGCAGTTACAAGATTACAGGAAACTTAAAAAACTGGCACTAGCATTTAAAATTGATGCACACCCAGGTAAGTAGTGTGAAATGGGAATAGGAATATTGAAAAGAATCTTCACGAGATTATGATCCTAACCTTACGTAACTTATCCAAAGCGCCACTTGTATCGAAGGTTTCATTGCCTTGCTCATCCATTGTAACGGCAGCAAGCTTTGCAAGAGTAATACCACAACAGAATGGATTCCCGGGATTGCTATTCGAAAAGGGCCAAAAGAAAAAACAAAATGAAACTACCCCGAAATTATTTGAGAACATAAGAAAGCAAGCAGTAGCATATAAGTTCATCAAATCAAAAGCTTCCAACATCTTCAGTAACTAACACAAATCAACCTGAGTACCTGACAGAGTCTTCATATCTGATATGAACATTGCTAATTGATATTTTCAGATTTCCAATTATAGTAGCAATTAATGATCCGAGCCAGGAATTTCCAACAGCTGGCTGAAAAGGAGAAGACGCACAAAATTAAAATTGAACCAACTCAAGGGAGGCAATGTCGCAAATAACCGCATATACTATACAAGTAACTGAATTCATGACTCTATCTAAATTGATAAGCTTAAAACAGAATGTAATGGAGTGGAATGTAAGCTTATAAGAATTTAATAACCACTATTAGGGTTATTAAAGAGAATCATTTCTCTAGTTGAATACTCTTCAAAAATATCTATCTTTTTTAAGAAAGGATACTCTTAATAAGAGCTCTTCGAATAAAATTGTTGGGAGAAGTTGTCAACGTGTTTACCTAAGCAGGAGAGCTATTTGTATATTGAACTCATTACTACTCTTCTAAGAGTAACATTGATTATGGTCAAAGAAAAGAAAAGGGAACACATATATTAGGTTAAAAGTCCATATTTTTACATTTAAAGAAACATTCAGAACTATCTTTCAATGGAAATGAGAAATATAGAAAATTTTGGAAAACTAAGGGATTCAACACATTTAATACGCAGCCCAACTTTAATCTTTTTGGAGTAGAAAAGATGCAAAAAAGGTCTGGACCAAACATTCACAAAGTAAACATATAGCTCAATGCAACATTGATTCTGACATGTGTTCCATAATATAAGAAGACATGAAAACACCTATACCAAACTGAGAAAAATTTGAGTTGTTTTAGATTATATGAGTGTTGACCATGAAATTGCAGAAAATAAAGTTCAGAAACTAAAAAATACATTTCCTCCCAGCTTTGATCTTGATAGAGCTTCAAGGGTGGCCAGTTCTGCTTCCTGCATGAAAAGAAAGAATAATCCACAATTAGAAAAATAGAAATTAATAAGTAACTAGCAACCAAACAAGTTATACCCGTCTAGCAAACACAATATGAGAGAAAGAAAAGCATCTCTGGAGAATGAAGCAACAAAGTCAAACCAGTGTAATATCTAGTATATTCAATGATCCATAAATACATATTCTCTTTACTTGTATGGTATATTGGTATCAGTTTCTCGCTTTTGTTACGAGGATGTGAAGTTTTCTGAATATTATTTCCTTGAATTCATTTACAAGAAGTACATAAGCTATTTATACAGATAGGAATCCTGAGAGAGTCTATTCAGCACCCTAGGTGATTGTCTAAATACTAAACATAAATGATTGAGAACTGAAAAGACAGCAGCTATTAAATACAACCTGAAGCACTAAAGACACATAATTACAGTAATAATCATTTTCATTTTCATTTACCCCAGTGCCGCAAAGGCTCCCACCTACGGTGGGGTAAAGGGGGGTCGGATGTACGCAGTCTTACCCCTGTACTAAAGCACAGAGAGACTGTTTCCGGATGACCCATAGTGAAAATCCCATCCAAAATTGCATGGACTGACTGCTGCTTTATAACAAAGAAGCGCAGACAGTTTAGTGAGCCATTTTACTTTATTCCATCATAATCTCAAGCCAAAAAATAATGAATCTTTGGCTCCATTGCAAATGATGGAGCACATAATTACAGTAATAATAAGGAAAATAAATCCTAGATTAATGATGTCTCTTCATTTTATCAACATTCCCCCTCAAGCTAGGTTTGTAGATATCCGTCATGCCTAGCTTGACAATAAGACCCTGGAACCTAGGACTGTGCAGAGGTTTGGTAAACACATCTGCAACTTGATCTTCTGAGGGAGTGTAGCTTAGTTCGATCAGACCTCCTTCAACCTCCTTCAACCTTTTCTTTGATAAAGTGCCTATCAATCTCAATATGCTTGGTCCGATCATGTTGGACTGGATTATGAGCTATGTTGATTGCTGATTTGTTATCACACCTCAATCCCAGGAGGTTTAGTCACAATATCCCAAGTATGGTTCTTTTCAAGAGCTCTAATTTCCTCTTGCATAGCATCCCTCCATTCTTTCTTTCCTAATGCCTCAGAAACAGAGTTGGGTATGGGAATTTCATTAAGTCTCTGAACAAACAAGGCATGTGAAGGAGAGAAGTTATCAATGGTAACAAAATTAGCAAGAGGGTATAAAGGTGTTTTGGTACATTGACGTACACCCTTGCGTAAAGCAATTGGCGGAGATGGTGGTGGAGAAGAAGAGACATTACCTGGGTCAGCCAATTGGTCATGCGTCAACAATGGAGTGAACCTGTTTTTCCTTGAGTACACTTTTGTCACTGGTAGAGGAGAAGATGGGTCATGAGTGGTGGATTTAGTAGGTGTAGGAATGGGATGGTCTGGTGGTGGATTTGATTGAGGTTCAGGTGATGTTGAAGACTGTTGGGAAGTAGGTGAGGTTGATGACACATCTAAGGAAGGTGATGGATGATCATGTGGTGGTGGTGGTGATGGGATGTCTGGTGATAAAGGCTTAGGAGGGTAGGAGATTGTATGTGGTGGAGAAGATGTAATAGTATAGGTGGGCAGAGGTGAAGGATGTGGAGTATCTTGGGATACAGGGAGAGAAGTAGGAGTGTAAAAAGGTGTGTCTTCGTGAAAGGTCACATCTGCACTGGTGTATGTCTTTCTGGTTGTAGGATTATAGCACTTATATCCTTTCTGAGTTGGAGAATAACCAAGAAAGATACACTTAATAGATCGTGGGTCCAATTTTCCCCTATGAGGTGGAGGAATATGAACAAATGCAGTACACCCAAACACCCTTAGATCAAGATCAGAAGAAATTCTGGTTTGAGGAAAGAAGTGACGGAGAGATTCAAGGGGTGGCTTATTTTGGAGTACCCGACTGGGAATTTTATTGATGAGATGACATGCTGTGAGTGTGGCTTCCCCCCAATAGTGTTTAGGCATATTTGATTGAAACAATAAAGCCCGACTGACGTCTAGGAGATGGCGATTTTTTCTTTCTGCTGTGTCATTCTGTTGTGGTGTGTACGGACAAGAGGACTCATGTACAATGCCTTTTGAGAGGAAATAAGAGGAAACGGTTTGATTGAAGTATTCAAGAGCATTATCAGTGCGGAAGCGTTTTATTGTGGCGGAGAACTGATTATGAATCATATTGCAAAAGATATGAATGATGGAACTCACCTCACTCTTGTTTTTTAGCAGAAAAACCCACATAAAACGTGTACAATCATCAATAAATGTAACATACCACCGGGCACCAGATATATTAGCAATAGGAGCAGGACCCCAGACATCACTATGTATAATATCAAAAGGAGAACAACTTATTGTATTACTTCTAGAAAAAGATACACGAGACTGTTTAGCAAGTTCACAGACATCACATTGAAATGTAGAAACATCAATACTACTAAAAAGACTAGGAAGCATGGTTTTTAGGACATGAAAAGAGGGATGACCAAGGCGCTTGTGATGAAGCCAAATAGTGTTGGTATTGGCTGTGATTGTGGTAAGAGCTTTTTGTGGAGGTTTGGAGACAAACGGTGCATCAAGGTAGTACAGGCCATCTCTTTGTATAGCAATTTCAATCGTCCTCCCCGTGTGTAGATCCTGTAATAAACAGTGGGAAGGGAAAAATGGCAGCACAATTAAGATCAACTGTGAGTTTGTAAATAGAAGCAAGGTTCATAGCCAGGTTTGGGACATGTAGGGTGTTTTTCAGATTTAATTTTTCAGAAAAAAAAACCGTACCAAGTCCTGCAACCTTTGTAGGTGTCCCATCAGCAGTAGTAATGTGTGTGGATGTAAAACATGGATGATAATTAGAGAGTAAAGAGGGTATGGCAGTCATATGAGATGTGGCACCTGAGTCTAATATCCATTGGGATTGTGAACTCTGTTCCGAAGCATTAAGACAAAAAATAGTAGAGGTTTTACCTTGCAGGGCCAAAGAGCTATGACCAGAACCATTTGAGTTATTAAGAGACTGTAACATCATACGAAGTTGCTTTAATTCCTCCTCGGAAATGGGCCAAAGATTAGTAAAGCTCTCAACAATAGTGGGAGTGACTCAGTTGGCACGTCCAGCACTAGTTCCACGTCTGTCCTGGCTTTTTCTTTCTTTCTGTAGATGAGGATAAAGTTTCCAGCATGTATCCACATTATGGTTGGACCGCTTGCAATGATCACACCATCTTCCTCCCTTACTACCCTTAGTTTCCTTAACATCTGAAGGAGTAGATTTGGCAGCAAGAGCTGTACTGTCAATCAGATTTGTATTCATCATTATATTGCGTCTGCTCTCTTCATGTTTGATAGTGGCAATGGCAGAAGATATGGAAGGCATAGGAGTAATGCCAAGAATTTGACCCCGAGTCTGATCATATTCGGGATTTAAACCAGACAAGAAGCAATATAGACGTTGATGATTTATATAGTTCTTGTGAAGAGCTGCATCTGCAGCATTCGACCACTTCATCGTTTGATACTGGTCAAGTTCAGAACATCGTCGTTGGAGGTCAGTTGCATAATCTGTGACAGATTGTGAATCTTGCTTAAGATTCGTTGTTTTGAGCCATAAGTCATAGACAAAAGCGCCATCTTTAGCAACAGAGTAGGACTGCTGTATGAAATCCCAGATTTCTTTAGCCGAGTCCATGTATAAACATGTACTGGCGTACTGCTAATGTTGGGATCCATAGAGTCCCATAACCAGACCCGTATGTTGGCATTAGTTTTCTCCCAAATAGCAGCATCAATCTCTCCTTCTTCTGGGGTAGAGACAGTGAGATAGTCTTCAAGATCTTTGCCACGTAGGAGAGTGTAAACCAGCTTTGACCACCCAAGATAGTTCATGCCATTGAGACGGTAAGATGGCGGGATAGAAGGGAGATCAAATTTCTGGTTTTGAAGAGCAAACGCGGCTGCAGTAGCAGCTGAAACAATGGTTGAGTGATCAAGGTTACTTGAGGCTGATTCGGCTTCTTTAGACATGATAAAACCCTTGATGAAGAGACTCCACCGGGAGTTAAAGAGAGAGAAGGGTAGAGACACCCAAAAAATGACCGTTGGAGAGGTGATAGACTCAAAAAAGGCTTAGACGAAACCTAGCTCTGATACCATGAAGTTTTCTGAATATTATTTCCTTGAATTCATTTACAAGAAGTACATAAGCTATTTATACAGATAGGAATCCTGAGAGAGTCTATTCAGCACCCTAGGTGATTGTCTAAATACTAAACATAAATGATTGAGAACTGAAAAGACATCAGCTATTAAATACAACCTGAAGCACTAAAGACACATAATTACAATAATAATAAGGAAAATAAATCCTAGATTAATGATGTCTCTTCGTTTTATCAACAGGATGGTTAGAAACTTATTCATTAAACAGCCTTGGCATCTTACTTTTCAATACCTGTACTGAGAGCCCATTAGTCTCAACAATGGATTTCCTATGAGATAATATGTTCAGGTATGGGGTGCAAGATCTAGTCCAGGGACGGATAGTACTCAGCAGAATGGAAGGGAACTCCGCTTTACGGTCTATTTGGATAGATTGAATTTAAATAAACCTTGTGAATTTAATTGAACTTGGGTTAATAAAAATTGGGTGAAGCTAAGTGAACCCAATTTCATTTCATTTTTCATTTTCATTTACCCCAGTGCCGCAAAGGCTCCCACCTACGGTGGGGTAAAGGGGGGTCGGATGTACGCGGTCTTACCCCTGTGCTAAAGCACAGAGAGACTGTTTCCGGATGACCCATAGTGAAAATCCCGTCCAAAATTGCATGGACTGGCTGCTGCTTCATAACAAAGAAGCGCAGACAGTTTAGTGAGCCGTTTTGCTTTATTCCATCATAATCTCAAGCCAAAAAATAATGAATCTTTGGCTCCATTGCAAATGATGGAAATCTAAGTGAACCCGGTGCATATATAAAAATGTCATTTGGATAATTTTTAGGTTAACTCGAGTGATTGCGCTAAAAGTTCATTTGGATGTTAACCTAGGTGAATATGTTAAATTTACATATAAAGACAACTTAACCTCCGAAAATCTCTGAGGTCATTGGAGTTTTTCCGAGGTAAACCTAGGTTCTTTTTAAAACTAGGTTATTGTCACAAAATAGAGAACAAAAAAAGTGAACCTAAAAATAAACCTAAAAGAACCTAGGTTCACCTCGAAACAAACATAGCATTAGTGTTTCTGGAATTAATCCACCTCATGCCACAGGCAGTGAAGTTGGTCACTGGTTCCACTTTACATACAATAAATTAATTTCTATAAATATAATTCTATTATTCCAACTAGTAGGCCTTATATAGGCAAAACAAGATCCCAAAGCTAGTAGAAAGAGAGTTTTAAAGATATTACGACTCTAATAATAAAAGACTAATGTGATGATAAAAATAACTACTACTAAGAAACAACTTAATTAAACTTGATTGCAAGAGAAAAAAAATCTAATAATAGGAAACGACTTAATTAATTAAGCTTGATCAGCATCTGACTGGCACTTTCGGCCAGTGAATGAGTCCATAACAAAATAGTTTCATTTAAAGATTTGTGAAGTTCATAAATAAAAATTTTATTCAATATTAGAAATATTTATCACATGGAAACAACCATTGTCAAAAAGAGATCAAAACACATATTTAATAGCTGCCTGAGTACACAATTAAATTAGCTTTACCTCAATCTGTTGTAGTTTGGCCTCAAAAAGTTTTTCCCTGTCCTCTTCCTAAATGTAGACACAGTATCAATCTGTTGTGATTATACCATATATCATTGAGAAGTAACCTATTAAACAAGATATAGAAAAAAAATCCCACCTTAAGAGACATACCAACAATAACAGGATGAGCAAGAATGAAAACTCTGTCAATGAGAACAATGACAGGCTCCTTTCCGAGGCTTTTCCATGGAACCTGTTTTCAAAAAACGGTAAAAGCAACATGAAATTGGTTAGTCATGTGGCTAATGAAGTAAATTATGAAAAAGCAACAGAGTAACTCTAACCATGATCATTTAAGCCATTAAAATATGATAAAGAAAGCATGAGCTACTATCATGGCATACAAAATGAGATGTACTGCAATATGTTGCCAAAATATCTTCAAAGTTGAGGTATGTCAAGGATATAGACTCCTAGAAGAAGTTTTCTCCTGCAAGATTTTTGAATATTTGGATCCAACTAAAAGCTTCTGAACCATTCACCACCAAGCTAAAAAAGATAACCAAGAAGATGATACAAAAGAATCATTCACCACCAAGAAGAGTAGATGCGGATAGTCTCTCCAACAAATGTGCCACATTCACAGCCAAGTTTGTTCAAAAGCATGCAATCCCCATTCAAAGTGAACTCTTTTTACAAGTCCAATCCCATAACCAAAATCTCAATCCGCTACCTCCACCTTATTTGGTACATCCTCTACAAGCTTATTAGTGTAACAGTTGAAACTCGAGTTGACTCACCTGACTTACTTCCTTCCATGTTGTGGGGCCATCACACTGACACAGCCCACTGAGGCATCCGATGAAGTTGGGATGGGTAGCTACACCTCTGCAGTAGTACAGTCTACAGTTTACATGTAATCCCACTGCATCTATTCTATCCTACCCTATCACCATGTCTATACCTCTTAGTATAGGAAAGAGCCTCAAGAAGTCACCTCTGATGTTAGAAAGAGACACAAAAGGAAAACATGATAGGAAGGCATAGTAAGAGGCTCTTACTATGCCTTTCTATCATGTTTTCCTTTGGTGTCTATCTCTAACATCACAGGTGACTTCGTGAGGCTCTTTCCTATACAAGGTGGTGCCAAGCAATGTGGACTGAGATAGAGGTTCTTGAATGTATCGATACTTGCATAGTTGCGTGCAGATGGATCTATATTGTGAGTGTTGGGTCAGATTGTACAATTGGCCACCTCATGGCCAAAGTTGGGTTGCTAAAGGATAAAATCAATTTTTCGTTAACACTATATGGCTCTGGTAGCTGAGACTGAATTTGTTTGACTAGTCCAATCTATAGTTACAAAGACGCATTAACCCCTATAACAGTTGGATATGAGTGTTTTTCTTTAAGGGGTTTTCATGGAGGCTTATATTGAGCACCCACCTATGTCAGGTTCTTTTATGAATAAATGGTTCTGACAAAATATTCACCAAATTAGCTGTATATAACACAATCGTGTGAAAGGGGAAGAGAAATGAAAAGGAGAAAAATGCATAGATAGCCATACAGTATTAGTAGTTGAATAAAGATGGAAGCAAATTAAATTGAAAGTAGCTAAAAAGTATAAAAATTGGTTCAATATAATCTTAAAGAAGTAGAGGATTACCTTTAGAGTTATAGTACCTACAAACCCAGCTTTCACAGTTACTGGCAGTTTCAATGAATTCAGTGCCTCTGCCTTTAACTTCAAATCTTTTAGAACCACATCACCTGTGGAAACACCATTGCTATCAGATAAATTTACAGCAACAATATAAGCCGTAGAAAATATGGATTGAAAAAATGTACCCCGTTGAGTAAACTAAGAGTAAAGCCTAGAAAACACGTTATAAAATGGTATATATGAAATGAGTTGATGGGTTGGAAACTAAGCCTTCAGATTTCCAAACTTTAGATATTATAAAGAATAAATACTGAGAGTACATGCAGGATGAATGAATGAAAAATTAATGAGGAAAAAGTTGAGCACCTTTCCATACGCTTATTCTCAATGTCTCTGCTGACAGTCCATGGACATACTCACCCAGGTATCTCCGAAGCAAATGTAAAACCTACAACCATGAGTAGAAAGTAAAGTTTATGATTCAAAGCACATGTGTTGATGCACCCATGACCGATCAAGTGGCATGCATCCCACAAATAATTGGAGCCAATAAAATTCTAGTATCACGTGAATTAACAGTCTTCAGAGCATGAATCATATTAACATACTTAATATGAATGCAATGCACACATCAGATGTTTTCATTTTTTACTCAAAGCATAAGCAAATAAAGTAGGCGTAGCAAATGAGGCAGATAGTTAGGCATAACAAATGAAGCAGATGCAGTTCCACTTATTCGAGTTATACAGTCACGTAATAATCATTATCAGGTCCTAGCTCCTCCTCGGTAAAATTGAGCATCATACCAAAATCAAATAGATATAAACGAAATGGAGCCAATAATAAATGAAATGACAGGCAACAATGAGATTGAGAGGAAAATCATACATGTGCTTCAAACATTGTGACCAAATGTGATCCTTCAATTCAGCTTACGAGTTGATCGTTGAGAATAATGGTGATCGCTCTTCACAAACTGCCATTTGATGGATAAAATCAGGAACCCTTACAGTGCGTATGCACGCTTGTATATACAATCTGAAGAGCAGAATATGATTAAGAAAACGTTCCCACTGCGTCTGATGAGCAAGACAAATAGAACGTGTATGGACTTGGCGAGGTCAGAAACGGCCTGGTTTGGAAGTATATGAGCGATCATATCCAGGCGCATACATTGCGGACCGTGCAATTATTTGAACCGGTCGGGTTGTTCGGATCTCTACTCTAATACGTACGAATTCTCATCATTTTAATCATCATCACTGTACAATATTATTATACTCTTTTGGTGATTGGATTTTAGTTAACTTTTGTTTTTTATTTATCTTAAAAACTTTATCACTTTCTGATAATCCCAGAATACTTAACAAACAACAAATACAGCAGTTATAGAAGAAGCAGATAGAAAGATATGTAGATATTATACGAATCTGGTATACCGTATGAAAACCGGCCGCTGCTCTCCCTGGAGAAGGAGAGCAGCGGCAACCCTACTCTCTATCTTTACGCCTCTGCTCTAAGCCTCTGTCGATCGTTAGGTTTCCCGTAAGTTAGCCTCCTTTTATAGGAGAAGTTGCCTAACTTACGGGTTACAAGGAAGCCCACGGGCTGATACACATTTGTGGCTCGTATTACACGATTAATTGATAACTACACAAATACAAAGATAACTAACTAGATTGAACACCATAAAATATTCCCAACAATCTCCCCCTTGGTGATCAATCGTGTTGAATCAGCATTGCAGCGCATATATCTTTGTCTTTGTTGTTATTGAGCTTCCTTTGTCTTTGAACTCGACTTCTGAGGAAGGCTATCTGAAGAAATCCTTGCAATCTCCCCTTTGATGTCTTCTTGACAATTTGATCTTTGATGCCGGGGGTTGAGGGACTTTCAGTATCTTGCATGTAGTCCTTACCTTCCAGAAGTTGCTCTTGATCAGCTTGGATGAAGTCCGGTGACGCCTCTAGAATGAATACTCTTTGGAGAATAGGAGACGCCCATGGAATTCATCTTCAGGACACGAGTATTTGACCTCTGTCTCCTCCACAATGTAGTCTTTTTTTGACTATTTGGAATGAATGCATTTGAGGAGAACTTGTCGGTGGCACAGCGGGAACATAATGATCGTTGATTTGTGAGTGTAGCTGACCATTTGATTTGAGTTGCGGAGATAGTAGAGAGGGCGTTGAATTTTGTGATGGAGGAGTGAGTGAAGTGTCCCAGAACGATTTGTTCAGTGTTAACAGCATGTGGACCACTCTCCCCCTCATGACGATCCGATGAATCGGGACGTCATGCTTTTATTCTTTTATTCTGCGGAAATAAAAACATGAAAAACAAGCAGAATCTAAAAAAGATAACGTAGCCCCCCGGGGTCGTGAAGACGCCCGTTATCATCACTATAGAGATAAACTCTAAAGCAATGGCCTGAAAATGTTGGTGATTCTTATGTTGCAACAGCAGGACTTCCTTCCAATTATTGGTCTACATCTGTATTAGATGAGCCCTATGGAAGTTCTCGCAAGTCTTGAAGACTAGCAACTGAATCTAAAATGTGTCTGTGTCCTAGAAAATTTCAAAACATTTGGGAGTGAGTAACTAGACACGACGTGATCAATGAAAGTTCAGTGGCATGGGGCTGAGGCCACTGTAGTCAGTATTACTTGCCTCGGAAGGAGACAGTAATGAGAGATGCAGTTCCCTGTGAACTATGATTAAACACCTGTCTGTTGGGAGACAAGTGAGTGGTCTAGGGTAGGGTTGTGCATGCGCCGTTTGGACAAAATGCAGCGACTTCTACCCGGGATCTGAATAAATTCAGTCCTGAACCTATGGGGATAGTCCAGAGTATTTCAGTGGCTAGGAGCAAATGTTCAATTCATAGCAGGCAATTGAGGTAGCAGACTCATCATTGATAATTGTTTTTCTTCTCACTTGAGCCTTCTGCTTCCTAATGCTCATAATGTTCACTCACTCACTCGCTCACTTACGCACTTACGCTCGGCTTTGTCCCTTGGGTAGGCTTAGTTGGGTTTACTAAGCCATAGGGACATGTTCTCTCATTACTTTCTTCATTTTCTCTCCGTACTCCCCCTCAACTGGAGCACCCGGTATGCTTTGTCATTGTTAGGCACCGGGGAGGATAACATTGAACACTCCCCCTAGAATATTGCATCCGTTGAGAGATTCCTTGCTTTGTCGGTGTAAGGCGCCAGGAGGAGAAAACTGAACCTCCCCCTCAGAATGTGCAAGGATTGATTGCTCACAGCTTGTCATACCCGCCATGTGTGTGGAGCAATCTAAACATGTACCACACATGACGGTTTCCCTGAGCTCACCATGTAGAATTTCAGCATATTGATGAACACATAATGTTGATGAGTCAGGGGAGGCTTCAGCGGTTGATTGTTGATTGTTGTAAGATGACCGTTGACGCGAGGTTGATTGAATTATCTACGATTTTCAGACCTTTACAATGAAGTTTAGAAAAGTTTTGACCTCAGGGTTGACAATGAAAGAATTTGAACAGATTTGCCTAAGTTTTGGCCTGGACATCGGTGATTTACAATGTTTGTCGGAAAACTCACGTTTTGACTCTCAAAGACTGCGAGTGAGGGCGCGTGAGATTGGGTTCTGGGGCGTAGCCCCAGAATTAATGTAGATCTTTGCGTTAGCTTTCCAACAAAAAAAGTTTGCTCAAATCGGATCACCGAGTCAAAAGTTATGGCCAAAACAGTGCGGTGTCGCAGAAAATCTTAAATATTGAGTTTTTGAGGAAAATCTTCGAGGTTGAGGTTCTCGATGTTGAATTTCGAGAGCAGGTGAATTTAAACAAAATTCTAAGGCAAAACTCGAAATCCAAATATGGAGATTTTAATTTCTAGTTTGCCTTGAAGAGTAATGACGAAATCCACCTGCAAAACAGACCTCAGAATAACGAAATCTTCAGAATTTCAAAATGTTTGAACATCGAAAACTTTGGAGTTTCGAAAACCTCATAATCTCGAAAACTTGCTGTTTGAAAAACATCAGAACATCGAAAACTCCTGAAACATTTATATAAGCAGGGAATCATTCAGAGATCCTTATAATGTAAAGCTTCGATGAACTGCAAAGGATGTCAAGATTCGAATTATGAGTTCCAAGAAACTGCAAACTTTGAAAGATTCAAAACATCGAGAAATTCCGAAAATTCTGAAAATTTTTTAGAATGTCGAAATCCAAAACATCGAGTTCCTAAAACTCGAAATAAATTCCAAACTCGCAATTCCAAAACTCTCAAATTTTTAAAAACTCGATGATTAAAACTCGAGTTCATGACCGCGAGTTTACAAACTCGAGTTCATGACCGCGAGTTTACAAACTCGAGTTCATGACCGCGAGTTTACAAACTCTCGTTCATGACCGCGAGTTTACAAACTCGAGTTCATGACCGCGAGTTTACAAACTCGAGTTCATGACCGCGAGTTTACAAACTCTCGTTCATGACCGCGAGTTTACAAACTCGAGTTCATGACCGCGAGTTTACAAAATCGAGTTCATGACCGCGAGTTTACAAACTCTCGTTCATGACCGCGAGTTTACAAACTCTCGGTTTTAAAAACTGTCGAATTTTGAGAATCTGAAAACTGTTCTGAATAGCCCTGAAGGTCGCGATCCCTCCTGTATCTGTTTCAAGTCAAAATCGTTTCTGCAGGCATATAAAAGCATAAACTCGAGTTTCCAAGGAGAGTTTTTCGAAAATGAAAATTTGCAGAAAACGAAAAAGAAGATATGCTGTAGAATCGGTTTTGAGAGGCGATTCCAACAGTATAATTTTTACAGATTTTCGTTCACAAACAAGATTACAGGAGCAAAACTCTATATGAAGAAAAAGAGAAGAAAAGCAGAGCATTCTTCGTTAGATCCAAGAAAATCGCAGATACATTCAACCTGTTTCACGCCTCGGCTCTGATACCAATTGATAATCCCAGAATACTTAACAAACAACAAATACAGCAGTTATAGAAGAAGCAGATAGAAAGATATGTAGATATTATACGAATCTGGTATACCGTATGAAAACCGGCCGCTGCTCTCCCTGGAGAAGGAGAGCAGCGGCAACCCTACTCTCTATCTTTACGCCTCTGCTCTAAGCCTCTGTCGATCATTAGGGTTCCCGTAAGTTAGCCTCCTTTTATAGGAGAAGTTGGCTAACTTACGGGTTACAAGGAAGCCCACGGGCTGATACACATTTGTGGCCCGTATTACACGATTAATTGATAACTACACAAATACAAAGATAACTAACTAGATTGAACACCATAAAATATTCCCAACACTTTCATTTTAAAGTATCATCATCGTCCCATTTTTATGTGTTCTACTTTGACTTTGGCACAAGTATTAATAAAGGAATTAATTCCACTTTTGGTCCTACGAGTTTTGTGTCATTTCCACCTTTAGTTCAGGTCTTTCATTTTGTTCATTTTTGGTACTTGACTAATGTTTTTAAACCATTTGTGATCCTTTTCCAGCGACTTTAACCATCGGAAACAATGCCGAAAGGATCGTATGTGGGTGAAAACACAATAGTCATGTATCAAAAGTGAACAAAGTGAAAGATGTGAATTAAATGTAGAATTGACTTAAAACTCGTATGACCAAAAGTGGAATTTATTCATTAATAAAGTGGCTCCCGGTGGTTCGGTCGGGAATGCAATCAAATAATTTTTTAAAGATAGATGCGCCAAAATTATACATATAAAACGCAGTTATTTTCAAAAATATATTTGATTGTCTTCCCGATCGATTTTTTGGCTGAATTTTTTTTTGGATAAACTAGACTTGATGAGGAACATGCTCAAAAAATTTCATCAAAAACTCTATCAGGAACCGCCCCAAACGATGGCGGTCGGACGGCGCCTCCTGTGCGAATATATATATATATATATATATATATATATATATATATATATATATATATATATATATATATATATATATATATATATATATATATATATATATATATACTCTCTCCCTCCCTAAATTATCTTCTAAAGTGAGTTTTGCACGGAAATTAAGAAAGTGAAAATTATATGGTTGAAAGTTGTGCATAGAAGAGAGAAATGTATAAGATATGTAAGAATTGATGTGAAACATAAATTCTTTATAAAAAGGGAAATAAAAGATTAT